TGGTTCTCCCAGGGCTGACAGGTTCCCAGGAGATGGAACTTCCAGTGCTAAGACCTAGAAAGTTCTGGGTAAGCTGGGACAGGTTGGTCACTGCTGATCCATGGGGCCCTCTTCAGTAAGCCCCCAAGTGACTACCCTGGGCATTCCTACTTACTGCTCCCTGCACACTCATCAGCAAAGCGTCAGTTGCTGGGTTTCCTTTGGTGCCCAAACTTCTACTGAACTATGGTAGCCCCATAGCCACTTATAGCAATATACATTAAAATGAAACAAAATTAAAAATTCAGTTTTTTAGTTGCACAAACCCTATTTTAAGTGTTCAGTAGATACATGTGGCTAGTGGCTGCTATGTTGGACTGTGAGGTATAGAATGACTCAGATCTGTCATTATAGAAAGTTCTGTTGCCTTAGGTGGTCTCCTCTAGATTAGGGTTTCTCAACTTTGGTACTATTGAATTTGGGACCAGATAATTCTCTGTTGTGGAGAGGCTTGTCCTGTAAAATGTAGGGTATTTAGCAGCCTCTTGGCCTCTAACTAGTAGATGCCAATATTGCCAGCCCTTGCCCCAAATGGTGACAACCCAAAATGTCTCTAGATATCATGAAATACGCTATGAGAGAAAATTGCATTGGTTGAGACACACGGCTTCCATCACTTTCTTTCTAGACTAGAATAAAAGCCAACCACCATCCTTCTCTTCAAACAGAGCACTGGCACCTGAATGCAAACGCAGTCATGCGCTTCAGTTACATCAGCCGGCTTTGTATCTCGGGGCCTATGGGCTTGCCCTGCTTTGGGGGCAATCATACACAAGAGAGAAAGTCTTGTCACAAAATGTGATTTGCATGGGGAGGGTTTAGGGTTATAGTAAGGGTGAGACTCTTGGTAAGGGTCTGGGCTAGAGATTTCCCACCAAGAAAGAATTATAGTAAAGGGGGGGGGAGGTGTCTTAAACAGTGTAATGAGATGTGAAGGGCTCCCAAACATCCATGTAAATAAGAGAATCACACCATTTTAGCTTTTTCTTGAATTTTCCTTGTGGAGATTAAGTGGTGGCATTTGCCAACCCTATCCTCCCAAGATTCCCAGTTCTTACTTTAAAAATATATTAGAACCCTCTTCATTTGGTGTTATTGGGAGCATTTGCTACCTCCATGGTAAATGCAGTGTTCTAGATCATTCTTTGGATGCATTTTTGGCATGTCCAGATGATGCCCTTTGTGAGATAAAAGTTTTTGCTCAACTTGCAGGCTCTCAAATGCTTAACAAGTTGTAAATCTCACATTCTTTTTGCAGTCATGAAACATCAGTATTTTTCTTCAGAAATTAAATAAATGTCTCAAAAATTCAGTAAATTCTTTTGTGGGGGAAAACATAAATAGAGAAGAGGAAGGCATACTCATTTTGGTCTATTCATATTTTCACCCTCCTATTCATAGCTTGGATAGACGAACACAGACTTTATTTTCTGAAGGGTCCAGATGTATGGCAATGCATGTACCTGGGTCAAAGCCAGAAACAATCTCTGAAAAGCCCCATGGGGTGTGCACTGACAAGCATTCAGTTGTCGGAAGGGTTTGTTAAATGGGTGAATGACAGTTTTGTTCACACATGATTTTAAGAGACTGTTTAAGCTGTCATTATTTCCTTGTTCTGAATGTTACACACTGCTAATAAGGCATTCTGAAGCATTTGTTTGCAGTGGCATGGTGATGACAGTCAAAGTAATCATAAGCTATCGGGGCAAGCCCGTAGAGAACAATAAAACACTCCCAAACAAATAATATCTACGTCTCTGCTGAAATGTGGCTGTTTGCTAAAATGTGGCTGTGTTTGGGTGTTGGATGGCCTGGTGTCTGGGCAACCGCTTGGGGTCTGGTGATGGCCTTCATTCTTTGGGATAGAATTGTCTTTCCAAGATCAGGTGCCTGAGAAAGGTATAGAAGCTTGTAAAGAACTGTGATGATGAAAGTTTGGTTGAAATGGGATGTCTGGGAATGAGCCATTTCTTCTTTTTAGACTCTTTTTTCTTCCCTTTCAGTAATTCTTAGAATTACGGACTGGTGTGTGGGGGGGGAGAAGCAGGTATGCAATTATATTTTTATGAGACCCATTGTTTTCTAAAATTTAGTCATTTGCATTCCACTTTCATAATTTTTGCCCTTCCTCTTACCATGTATACTAATATCTATCTGTTCTTTTTACCTAACAGAATTATCTTATAAGTAAACTTATGTCACTTTTATAAATGGAAAACTTCTATCACTTGCTTGTAAACATAGGTGACTGTATATTTATACACATACTACATTCAGGGAAAACCAAACCATGTTACTAAATTCTAGCTAACTTATGCTGATCAAAAGAAGCCAGTCTCAAAAGGCTACATTCTGTGTGATTTCATTTCTATGACATTTTGGAAAAGGCAAACTATAGGGATGGAGAATAGATCAGTGGTGGGGAAATGGTGGGAGGAGGAATTGATAGCAAGAGGGGCATACAAGGGCATTTGGTGTAATGAAACTGGTCTACATCCTAGTTGCCATGGTGGTTAGGCATGTGTTCAGATTCACAGGACTATACACCAAAAATGTTTTAATTGTATGTTAATTTAAAAAATAAAATAGTTAAATTCTAATCATTAACTGTGGCCTCATGAAGGTTCTGAACTTGGAGCTTTGCTCCATCTTTGTTGAAAAGGAAACTGTCAAATTCAGAGAGGTGTCAAAGACTTATTAGCACCAAATTCAGAGAGGTGTCAAAGACTTATTAGCACCAACAGAGACTTTACCTAGTTGTTAATTTAATATATTGAGTGGGAATTAAAAAGGAAGGAACAACCTTGGGGAGAATCCTTGTTATTTCCCATGAGGGAAATGACCCTTTCAGAGTCCCGAGCCCCTGAACTGATTCACAACCTTCAATTTATAAATGGGATACATTTGTGTCCAAAATGGACCCAGGTGCAAGATGTGCTGGTTTGAGAGAACCCTTCCCCCAGCTTTCCGCTCTCCCCCAGAGAAATCCAGCTGATCTCACTGTGGGTTTGTTTCCAGTCCTACTGGCTGAAGGTGCCACCACCCCGATGGATTCCAGGTGATGGATGCAATGAGTGAGAACTCTGTGGGACAACATTGATTCACGTATTCATTCATTCAATATTAATTGAGTGCCTCCTGTGGGCCAGTCATGGTACTAAATGCTGGGGATATAGTGAGCAAAATAGAAAAACCCCTGCCTTTCAGTCTAGTAGAGCACAAATATTGAATGATATGTGTACAAAGTTAATATATAATTATAAACTGTTAAGGTTGTAATTATGAAAAGGTCAGGATGCTATGATGGAGACTCAAGGGGAACTACTTGGGTGTGGAGGAATAAAGGAGACCTTTCTGTGAAAGCAGCATTTAAGCTGATACCCCTTAAGGATGAGGAGTTAGCCAGGCCAAGAAGGAGAGAAAAGCATTGTGGGAAGAGTGAACAGCATGTGCAAAGTCCATAGCCCAGGAAAATGGGGGCCAGTGTGTTAATGCAGGGCTGGGTAAACTATGTCCCCCATCCCTATTCAGATGCAGCCCTCAAACTAAGAATGGTTTTGCATTTTTAAATTGTTGAAAAAAATCAAAAGAAGAAGAATGGCTCATGAAATATGAAAATTGCATGACGTTCAAATTTTGGTGTCCATCCATAAATTGGAAGACACACTTACTCCATCCATTACATATGGCCTAGGGCTGTTTTCCTGCTACAATGGCAGAGCTGAGGAGTTGCTTCAGAGTCTGTATGGCCTGCAAGGCTTAAAATATTTTCTATCTGATCCTTTAGGAAAAAGTGTGTCCATCCCTAATTTACAGAATGATGAGCAAGGGGAAAGGAAGGCAGGGATCAGCTCATGGAATACTTCTCAAAGCATATTAAGGAATTTAGAAAAGCCATTGAACAGGTTGGGGTGGAGGTAGGGGAATTATTGAGTCTTTTTTTGTTTTAAGCTGTGCTCTAGCGTCTAGTTTTTCTGGAGCCCCAGGGAAGTGCATTCCTCTGTATAAGCAAGGGAATGTCCTTTACACCCCTAGGTTTTGTTTCCTGGCACCATGATAGAGGAGGTAGGTTGGAAGCTTGCATTTGTTGTCTGTCTTGGTCAGGTGCAGGTGTGTTTGGAAAGACGTCCGGGGCTATTGTTTTTTCAAGTTTATTTTATGTCTGTAATGAATGTTAAGTTCAACATTTCAACAATGATTTTACTGTGCTTGTTCTGAGGCTTTCAGTAAATGGCACAGTTAAAAAAAACCAATATGCTTGGTAGCTAATTTTGATTTATTTTAAAGCTTTCATACCTTATTTGGGGATTGGGGAAAAAAGCATTCTTACAGTCACTTATTCCAGCCTTTTCTCTCCCATTTCCCCCCAGACACAGTGCTTTAGTGTTTTACTTTTTTTTTAAGCTGGTTTTCACTTTGATATGATTGTGATTTGCAAAAATTCTTGCCTCCTTTTCGGGGAGGGGGGATAAATTGGGATAAAATACATGTAACATTAAATATACTATCTTAACCATTTTAAAGTGCCTGTTGTTGTTAAATACATTTACAGTGTTGTGCAACCAATCTCCAGCACTCCATCTTGCAAAACTGAAATTCTATGCTTGTTAAACAAAAACTAACAACTCCGTTTCCCTCTCCTCCCAGTCCCTGGTATCTGCTTTTCTGCTTTGTATTTGTATGAGTTTGATTATTTTAGATAACTCATATATCTAGAGTCATAGAGTATTTGTCTTTTTGTGACTGGCTTATTTCACTTAGCATATTGTCCTCAAGATTCATTGATATTGTAGCATGTGTCAGAATCTCCTTCCTTTTTTAAGGCTAAGTAATATTCCACTGGAGGGATAGCTCACATTTGGTTCATCCATTGATCCACTGATGGATTCTTGGGTTGCTTCTACCTTTGGCTCTTGTGAATAATACTGCTATGAATATGGGTGCATATATATCTCTTTCAGACCCTGTTTTCAATCCTTTTGGACATATACCCAGAAGTGGAATTGCTGAATCATATGGTAATTATATTTTTAATTTTTAAGGAACTGCCATACTGTTTTTCATAGCAGCTGCACTACTTTACATTCCTACCAAGAGTGTGCGAGGCCTGCAATTTCTCCAGATCCCTTCCAACACTTGTTATTTTGTTCTTTTTTGTTTGTTTTTGTTTTTGATGGTGACCCTCCTGATGGATACAATATGATATTCCATTGTGGTTTTGATTTATTTCTCCTATGATTGATTATGTTGAACATATTCTCAGATGCTTGTTGGTCATTTGTATACCTTCTTGGGAGAAATGTCTTTTCAAGTCCTTTGCCCATTAAAAAATTTTTTTTACTTTGCTGTTTTTGTTGTTGAGTTGTAGTATTTATTTATGTATTTTAGGTATTTACCCCTTATCAGATATATGATTTTCATATATTTTCTCCCATTCCACAGGTGCCTTTTCACTCTTTTAGTTATGTTCTTTGATGCATAGAAGTGTTTCATTTTGATGTAGTCCTGTTTACCTATTTTTACTTTTGTTGCCTGTGCTTTTGGTGTCATTATCCGAGAAATCATTGCTAAATCCAAGTTATGAAGCTTTCTCCCTATGTTTTCTTCTAAGAGTTTTATAGTTTTAGATCTTTTGGGACTTTAGTCTATTTTGAGTTAATTTTTGTATGTGGTATAAGGTAAAGGTCCAACTTCATTCTTTTGCATATGGGTATATCTAGTTTCCCCAGCAACATTTGTTGAAAAGGCTGTCCTTACCCCATTGAATGGTTTTAGCACCCTTGTTGAATATCATTTGACCCTATATGTGAGGGTTTATTTCTATCTCTCTGTCCTATCCCATTGGTCTATATGTCTGTCCTTATGCCAATTCTTGCCTCACTTTACTCAGCTCACTGTTTTCCTTTCTACAAAGGAGGCTTCTTTTTGCCTGGACCACAATGGTGGTGTTTTTATTTTCTATCTTTAATAGGGGAAAAAACTCTGCTCATATTTCCTTTTCTGCTTGAGCAATCTTCACTGATTGTTGAAAATATGTAAGTAATTAAGTAGATTAAAACGTGAAGAAGTCAGTCGACATGGAAGGTGGTCAAATATAACAGTTAAGAAATGTATGTTCAACTTCCTGTCCCCGCTGACTATGAGAACTCAGAGAAGTTACTAAGTCCACTCAGCCTCAGTTTCCTCATTTGTAAAATAGGAGTGTTAAGAGCCCCCCAGAAACAAGAGAAGATTAAGGGAGAGTATGCATGTACATTATTCCCTTGCTGCCTGGCTCAGAGTAGGTAGTAGAAGTTAGTATGTCTTAGAAGCACACATTGTCTTACTTTTCCCATTTCACTCCTTACCTTAGATTTCACTTTCACTGAAAATATCCATTCCTTTCTCTTTAGTGAAAAAGTCTCCCCTCTGCTTTGCTTCCTTTTTCTTTTTTTTCTTTAATTTTTCTTTACATCGACTTGAAGAACTGGAAAAGCCCTTGTAGATCTTCCCCTGTTGATGTCCGTTTAATTCAGCCATTCTTGAATGCAGGGGTGAGGTGGTGGGAGTGGTGATTTTTGCCCCCAGAGAACACTTGGCAATGCCTGGGACATTTCTCATTGTCACAACTTGGGGGAGATGCCCCTGGCACCTAGTGGGTGGAAGCCCGGGATGCTGCAGAACATCCTACAGGGCACAGGACAGCCCCCCAACAATGAAGACTTCTCCAGCCTCAACTGCCAATAGTGCTGAGAATGAGAAAACCTGTTTTAACTGAGGCTTATCCTGTCATTTTTGTAGTCCATTTTTTTTAAGTTATTAAAACAAGAAGGCATTTGAGCCAGCATTTCCCTCTTGCCTATGTGCCTGGCTGTTCATAATTCTAGCCTGGGTGTGGGACAGGAGATGGGAAAAGATGAGAAAGAAGAGACATACATAGCTGGTCACCTTCTGCTAGTACATGTAGATCCAAAGCATTCTTTTTTGTAACTCCATGCTGTTCCATAATGCAGATATGCTGTCACTCATCTGGCTCATCCCCTGTAACTTGAATTTGGGGTTTCCAGTTTTTTTGTCATTGCACGCAAAGCTTGGCCTGACTACCCTTAATGACTCCCTATGTTTTGTGAGGTCACTTTGCCAGCTGAAGAACAGAGCTTTGAGTGGCTTGCCTTGATTTGGCTGGCTTAAGTCTGGGAAAGCTAAGAGGAAGCAGAGATCTAGATAAACAGCCTGAATGTGACTTCATCAAGATTGTAGGATGTTATTTATCTTCTGTACGTTCCTGGCCCAGCTGAATGATAATTACAAGGTTGATATGATCACCCATTCAAACCAGGAATCTTGCAAGATCAAATAGGGAATCTACAGTTAACAGATTTAGAAGACATGTAATTTCTTGGAAGTGTGATTAAACATTTGTAAAATGCAATATACTAGTCAGAATTCTCTCATTTGCAAATGACAGAAACCCAACTCAAAATAACTTAGTCAAAAGGATATGTCATGACTGAAGTATCCAGTGGTCAGCTGCCTTCAGGCATGGCTGGATTTAGGTACTTAGTCAAGGTCATCAGCATTTGATTCTGCTTTCTATTTCTCTCTTGGTTCTGTTCTCTTCCCTTTTGGCCTCACTCTCAGGTAGGGTGTACTGGTGACTACTGGCAGCTTCATGTTTATAACTAACTAACTAAAGCCAGCTGAAAGAGAGAGCTTCTCTTTTCCCAACATTTCTGACAAAGTTACCGAATTGAATCTCATTGGCTCTGACTAGGTTAGGTACCCTGACTCAATCACTGTGGCCACAAAGAAAATAATTCTGATTGGGTCATATGCCCATACCTGGCCCGCATGGTCTGAGAGAGTGGAAGAGGTAGGTGTCACTCAAGCAAAAATGTTACCACAAAATAGAAAAATGATGCTGGGCAGGGACAAAATAATGAAAAATCCACTTCTGCTGTGCTGAGAAATATGAGTTGGCAAATGAAACTTCTAAGACTACAGGTGATGGCAGAAGGTTAATTCTTTAGCTCTGATTACTCACCAGAAAGTCTAAATCTTTTTGTTTGCATAGAGATAAACTTATAATTAGCTGAGCTTTAAAAATAGTCTACTTCCTTCTTTTAAAGATATCACCACTCATCTAATTACTCTGGTTTGAAAGTGGGGAGCTGTTTTTGCCTCTTCTTACCTTTTGCCCTTCCCCTATCAGGTCAGCCCACAAATCCTATTGATTCTTCCTTTAAATTCTTCTCTCATTATTTTCTTCTCTATTTCTACAGAGGATTACATTCCGTCACCATAACCACCTAGTCAAAAAAGAATACCTCTTTCCCAGTTAGTCTAGTCAAGGGCCTGGAGGACTGATGGGGATTATGTGCCCATTGTTGAACCAAACCCTGAGGCTGGGGGCATGGTGGACACTGATTGGCCAGAACTGGATCATGTGGCCATCATCGGGCCGGGATGGGAGAGCTGCCCAGATGAAAATTAGGGTATTGATGCTAAAAGAAGGGAAAATGGATAATAGGCAAATAGAAACAATGGATATCCAGCACACTTACATTAAAACCCTATTATTTCTGATTTGACAGTATGCTGTGTCTATAGATCAGAGCTCATAAAACTCACAAAATCATAATTTCAAACTTGAGGGGATGGTAGCAACTATCTCCTTACCCAAGTCCTCTAGTCACTCGTCACCCATTCCTTTGTGACTCATACTAATTTATGCTTTGAACCCTAGAACCACAAGTGCAATCGAAGTGCTCAACAAGTCCTTGTTCCTTCCAGTCCTTTTGGTTCATTGCTGCCCTGCCCCACAACCAAGAGAATGCATTGGTCAGGTAGAAGTTTGGCCACATGTATCAGAGACCCAGAAAGCAGTGGTTTACACAAGATAAAAGTTTATTTCTTTTTTACATAAAAGCTCAAGCTGATAGGCGTGCACTGACATGTGAAGTCATCAGCACCCCAGACTTCTGCCTTCTGTTGTGCTGCCAGGCCCAGGGTGCATGCTGTCTTTGTGTGCTGGGCACCATCATTTCCATATTCCAGCCCACAGGAAGTAAGAAGACTGAGAAAGGGAGGGATACTTCCCTTTAACAACACAAACTGGAAGTTGTAAAAATCACTTCTGCTCACATCCCGTTGACCTCTCATGGCTACACCTATATATGCACAGGAGGCTTTATCCTGGGCAGTGATGTACCCAATTATGAAAGAAAGAAGAGATTCTGGAAGATAACCAGCAGGGAAGAAAAGAAAAAATATCTGACCTTTTCCTTCCTTTTTGTTTTTCAGATAAAAAAAAAAAAAAGATACTTGAATAACTACAAATGCAGAAACATTTTAACACTCCAGGGTGACGAATCTGTACCAGCATGTCTGCCTACAGGAATAATGGGTATGAGGAAGACCCAGATTACCCTGACTATTCAGGGTCTCAGAACCGTACATGGGGCTATTTGAGAACTCAGAATTACCCAGATTCTTCAGGTCCTTGGAGCAACTCAGACTACCAGCGCACCAGGAGCACCCCATTCTCCGCAGATTCTAGAACAAATCCAGACTATCCTGCATCTCTAGAAGAACCAGATTATCCTGGATCCCAGAGTCATCCAGACTACCCTGGCACCAGGAGCAATCCATACTCTGCAGGCTCCAGAAGTTCAGGCTATCCCAAATCTCTGCCAGAGCCAGATTATGCTGGGTCTTGGAGCTATCCATACCATCAAGGCTCAGCTAGACAGCCAGAGTACTCTGAATCTCAACAAAATTTTGACTTTGCTCATTCCAGAAGCAGTGGAAACAATGCAGGCTCCAGAGCAAATCCAGATTATCCTGGCTCCTTGGGAGAACCAGACTACCCTGGAGCTCAAGGGAATTCTCACCATCCTGGCCCCAGAGCCAGTTCCAACCATCCAGGCTCCAGAAGGAATCCAGAATATACTGGTTCCAGAATCAATCCATACATAGATACTCTGGGAGAGCCTGATTATCCAGGTACTAAGAATCAGTCTGACTCCCCAAACTTTTTTGGAGAACCAGACTATCCAGGTGCTGAGGACTATGAGAACTCTCCAAACTTTGGGAGGAAGCCTGATTACCCAGATGCCGAAGATGGTCGTGATTATGGCCCTCCTGAGACCTCGGAAATGACCAAGGAGTAAGTGCAGACATCTTCCTCCATTGGGGATGGGGGCTGAGTGCTAGATCATCAAGTCAGTGGAACCTGGCTGGCATTGTTTGGGTTAGTATTATGGTTTCCATGACCTGAAGTTGTGGTGGAACTACCTGTACACCTCAGCTGGTCCATGGATTCTCAGCCTGAGGCTTCAAGCCCTTACCTGAACATAATCTTTCATCACCTTTTACTTGGTTACATATCCTCATCAGTCTCCTACCTCTTTCTATCCAATCCCTGCCCAGACATTTATATCCCCACTGTTTGACCCTGCTACTTTGCCAGTGAGGTTAGGTTAAGACTTGATAGTTATGAACCAAACGTTTTAACTAGAATTATATCAATAAGAATGCATTTTAATCAAGAAGATTGTTTAAAGATATAACTTCATGAAGTCAATTTAATTCCTCAATTTTTAAAAAAATACAAGATGGTTGAGCTCCTGAATTTCTTCCAATTTCATTTTTATTTTACTGAAATTATTGTTGTCAAAATCGATCACTTTCACACTTAAGATTTGGCTCATTGATCTTCTGCATTGTTGTTTTCATCAAATTTTATCGAATATACTTTTTGCTATTGTTGGTATTCCTTTAAGACTGTTAAAAAAATTAAGTCCAATTTTCCTTGTTCAGATTCTGAAGATCTCAGTTTTGTTTAAAAGATTTTAATCCTCCATCAATTTTTGGTCATTGACAAATTTTACTACGTACAGTTCTGGACATTGACAATGTCAGTTTGGGTGGCTTACCAAATTTTTCCTGGGTTAAGTTTTTCTATGTTCATATTACCAACAAGATGTGATTCTTTAGTCAGGTTATTTTTAATCTGTAACTTCCTGGGCCTATAACAAATTTTACTGTGAAAATTTTACCAATCTGAGTCTATTTTGCATGTACTGTTCTACTAGTAATGCTTACAAATTTAACAAAAGCTAATGGCTTGTATTTATCTCTAGGAACAAAGATATGGAATTTGGGGTCTGGTGCAGGGTCACATGTGTTTAGGACCTAAACAGGAGGGTTAACAGGACCAGGTCAAAATGTCCTCCTTGGTCTTATCCCCCAATGCCTGATCCATCATTCCAGAATACACCATTGACCCTGTCTCTCCTTTGTTTCTCATCTTTCATGGTTCTCCATAGCCTTTGTGCCACTTCACTTATGAGGACATTTAAGAATGAAGATGCACTGGGCTGATGCAAGATGCCAGCCAAAGCCCGGCCTGCCCGACCTCCTTCCCCCTCTCTCTCCCTTCCCTACTGCACCCTAAGCTCTAGGTCAGTGCTTCTTGATCTTGGCTTTGCCTTAGAATTACCTGATTACCTGGAGAACTATAAAAACAATGCATATGCCTGGGCCTAACTTCCAGAGCTTCTGATTTAATTGTCTGGGGGTGGGGCCTGGGAATCCGTGTGTACATGAAATTGAGAAACATTGCTCCAGGTTAGTTGATTTTCATAGCATTTCTTTTATATATTAGATCCTTCTGGCCTCACACCTTTATTTATGCTGTTCTACATCCTTGGGATGCTCTACTCCTCACTCTTTATGTATAAATTTATCCCTCTCATCCCAGCTTGGGTGTCTATTTTCCATTGTAATGTAACTACATGTAATGTAATGTAAATTTCCCCCTAAACTCCCAGCCAGAATTCTTTTCTCTTTCTTCTGAACTCCTTCAGCCTGTCTTCTGATACTCATGAGTTGCTACTTGTATTAAGTTGCTTATGGCTATATCTAAGAAGTTCTACCAGATGCTATCAAGAATTACTTGAGAGTAGAAACCCAGTGACTTTATCTTTGTGTTACCACCCTCTCGCCCATGCCTAACACGTGGCTGGCATTCAGTCAGCATTTGTGGAATGAATGACTGAACACATGGATGGATGACTATCCTTATGCTACTGGATGCATATTAAATCATCATTTTGGGATTTCAGGGTGCTTAGTAGAACATCTTCAGTCCAGCACTCATTCCAGTATGGGGATGATGACCCTTTGGGCATCCTTAGGGGAGAGAATGAAGATCACCGTGAAAGCATTGAAATGAAATCCATGGAGATGGCGAATCCATATGGCTACTCTGTGTCAGGTGCTCCTGGCAATGGCTATGGTAAGCGTTTGTTAAAAGGAGGGTCATATCCTGAGAAGAAAGTAAAATTAAAGGGGCAATCATTAACGAGTTCCAGCAACAGAATGGGTTTATCCCTCTCCTTTTGAGCACCTGCTTTGCAAAGGTTGAACACTCAGGGTCTAGAGAAGACAAATGATATCATCAGTTATCAAAGCACAGTGAGTAGAGGTTGTGGAGAATAGGGGCATGCATGCTCTGTGCCTACACGAGGGGCTGATGTTCAGGTTTGGCCCATTTCAGTTGTGCATGAATGTGGACTCAGTGTAGCTAGAGCCTCAGATTTCTCTAAAGAAGCAAGAAATATGTTCTTGTGTGTTTGTGCCTGTGAAGCCTTGTTATATGCTCAAAAAAATTTAGTTTTTTAATTAAAATAAAACACCCCAACCAGGGCAGACAAAATCTCTGATGGGTTAGGTTCAGTTTGCACAGCTACAGATGGCAGCTTAGCACAATTTAGCACCTCCTAAAGGTGTTCAGACACTCAACAGTTACATATTTGGATCCTACTGGGAGGCAGTAGGAGTAAGAGGAAGGTCTGTCCTCAGGGTACTTAAAGCCTAAATGAGTAGGTGACACAGCTCATCAGTAATGGAGAAAAGATTGAGAAACACTGCCCAGGGCAAGCAGATCTAATAATGTGGAGCAGATTTTGAGTGTTTCCTATTCCCTGGAGGCTCTGCCAAGCACTCTACTGTTATTGTCTTGTTCAATCTGCACAATCACCATTCAGACAGCTGCTCATGCTCTCCCTACTTATAGATCGGAAAACTGAGGCTCAAAGAGAAACGTCCAAGATCACTCAGCTACTAAATCAAAAGAGCTAGAATCACAATCCAATCTCTCTGAGCCAAAGCCCAACCTCTTACTTACCCTGAATTACTGCTGGATGGGATTAGGGCAAATGCAAACAGGTAGTTTCTATGGAGCAAAGCAAGCTCCATAGAACACACAGAAAAGTAGTCAGTCAAGTGTGACTTCCTTCTCTGGGCTCCTTTGAAGGACCAAGGTTATAGCCCTTGGCAATGACTTGTCCAGTGCTTCACTATACCTGATAGGCTGTGCTTTCCTTAAGAAGAACCTGTCTTTATCTGTGGATCCTCAGAGGCACTAGGTGATTTTCCTAGTTTCACCATGCCTGGCACATAGTAGATGACTAAGCAGTGCTAACTGAACTAATAACAATTGTAAGGGATGTGTCAGCTAGCTATTGCCACAGTAATGCTGCATAACAAACAATTCCAAAAACCTCACTGTTGTACAATAAACACACTCATTTCCTACTCACACATCTGCAGGTTTGCTGGGAGTTTGACTGAATTCAGCTGGGTTTGGCTGTGCTTGACTCCAGGTCACAGGTTCTGTTTAGGTCTGGTGTCCTTCTTCTTGAAACAGGGAACCACCTGGGATGTTATTATCACATAGCATAAAGTGGAGGTGCTTGAAATGAGCAGAAGCACAGGATGTCTCTAAGGACTAGACTTGTAGCTGGCACCCTGTCACTCCTACTGTGTTCCATTAGTTAAAGCAAGTTGCCTGATGAAGGCCACCTTTAGTGGAAGTGTTCAATGGGATGTTATTATCACATAGCATAAAGTGGAGGTGCTTGAAATGAGCAGAAGCACAGGATGTCTCTAAGGACTAGACTTGTAGCTGGCACCCTGTCACTCCTACTGTGTTCCATTAGTTAAAGCAAGTTGCCTGATGAAGGCCACCTTTAGTGGAAGTGTTCAAGATGGGGGTGGTGTAATATTTGCTGAACAACCCTTCATCTACTACAGTGATTAATGTATATTAAGAGTTTACTATGTTCCAGGGTTGCTTTAAGCACTTTACATGTATTAACTGATTCAGTTCCCTTAGCAAACTGTATGTGAAGGTCCCATTCCTGTTTTAGAGACAAATATATTGAAGTTGAGAGAGGTTAAGTAACAGGCCGAGGACATCCAGCCAGTAACAAAGGTGGGAACTGATCCCCAGCAAGAAATTCCAGAACCTCCATCCAGCCAGTAACAAAGGTGGGAACTGATCCCCAGCAAGAAATTCCAGAACCTCCTGCCATGGAATTTCGTGAACTGTTCCCATCAAAATGTACTCCATTTTCTCAGTTGAGTTCAGGCTTTAATGTTTACCATGGATTGAAAAAAAATACTGAAATGTGACCCTGTCGTGTCGATGCTGAAAGTGTTCTCTGTCACTAAGAAAATCGTGCTATATTTTAAATTAATTTATGCATCATCATAAAAGGCTAGAACTAGAAGGAGCCTCTGTAATCATCTAGACAAGTTTTCTTTTTTCTTAAAAATTTTACAGCAGTTTCAGACCCACAGTAAAATTGAGGGGCAGATACAGAGATTTCCCATTTCCTCCTGGCCCCAACATGATCATAGCCTCCCCCACTATCAACATCATCTACCAGAGATGCATTTGTTACGATCAGTGAAGCTGTGTTGACACATCATAGCCATCATAAACACCTCAAATGAATCCATAGTTTACATACAAGTTCACTCTTGGTGCTGTACATTCTGTAGGTTTGGATAAATGTCTAATAACATGTATCCACCACTATGCTGTTATACAGAGGATTTTCTCTGCTCTAAAAACTCTCTGTGCTCCACCTATGTCTCCCAGTCCCCTAGACAAGTAGCTTCAAACTCTTGAATTGTAACCCATTAATGAATGTGAAATTCTTAAAAATGAATAGAAAAGAATGGAAAAGAATAAGAATATATCAAAGTGCCTTTTATGTAGTCAATCAAAGAATTGTTTTGTGAGACTTGTTTTTCAGTTATAAATGTGTAGGTGTGCCCTGGGTCTCAGGGTAACAATTATTTTTCACCACAGCTTATACCTAAATGAAAACCATTGTTCGAGGATGTTTGTATTTATCAATGTTGTTTTTGAATTTGTGTCCTGATTTGCACCCAAGTGCTTAATCATTTCATTGTTAGAACCTCAAGGTCAAGGTCTCAGTTTTACTGACCATTATTTGTTCAGTAATGTCTGGTGTGGTGGGTGAATTGGTGATGTCTCCTGCCTCTTCATTCCAGTGAACCCTGCTTTTGTGGGTGAGAGTAGCCCCAGCCCAGCTTATAGAAACCCACCATTGTCTGGATGTGATTGGCACAAGTCACCCCAAGGTAAGGCTTTAATGGATGGTGACCACTCAGTCAACCCGGAAGAAGGAACGAGCTCACGCAGTGCAGACACTGCCTTTTCCTCTTGGCCTCAGGGTGGTAACTGATGCAGTACTTGCTTAATTTATTATAACAGGGTTTTCTTTTAGAGACACAGAGCTTTTCCTCTTCTGGATGTCAAGGTGTCTTCATTAGGGTTCTCTGGGGGCATGTGACAAAAACCCAACTCACATGGACCCAGTGTGAATTTATTGGTTTATCAGGTGGGGAGATAAGGGAGAAACAATGGATTGAGGGTAGAATTATCTTCCAGCACCTAGTAAAGTGCTTGGCACATATATGTGTTGAGGTATTTTTTGAATTAATTTGTCAAATGAGTCACAGGAACAAGGGCCTCTGATTCTCAAGCCAGGCACTCAGTGCCCCCTGGATTCTCCTTATCTCCATCTGTTTCTCATCTCTGCTTGTCTCAGCTTCTCATTAAACTTCACCTCCTTCATATCTGCCACAGGCAGGCCTTTTCCACAGGCCAGGGAACATGACCTACAGCAAGTCCTGATACCCATCCTCAGCAGAGAGACCTCATTAAAAGTCTTTCCCTCTCCCTGGGTCTGTCAGCCAAAACTGAGGAAAGACTGTCCAGCCCTGTTTGGGGCACATGCCTACACATGGACCATTTCTACCATAGGAAAGAAGACTGGGTCACATGCCCATCGGGGAGTGGATGCATTGTTCAAAATTTTTCTGAATAATTGTATAATTATTATGAGGTTGGCGTGTAGGAGCAGTTGGACTGGTGAAAGGTGGGAGGCTCTGAAATCAGGAAGCTCTGCAAGAATCACCATGTACAGTGATGAAAGTCTGACCAGAGGCAGAGACTGAGAAACAGAAAGGAAGTGGCAGAGGAGAGAGGCCAGAGAACGCTAGAACCTAGCAGCACATCTGAGCAAGGAATAAACCGACAGGTTCTCAACAGAATAATGCAAACTGAGGGGCTGGTACTTAAAACTCTCTCACTTTTTGGCCTCCTAGCCTATGTGATAAGAGTATCTCTGAGGAGGTGTTATCTTCCACCAGGGCTAGGTATTGCTACCTGGGAGGAAAAACCAGAGGATATAAAAGATCTCACTCTCCAGTTGGTTCCCACTACAACAGAGAATGTCTAACTACAGAGGACAGGAAATGCCTTTGAATTCGGCAGACTGCTCTATCTAGCTGGCACAAGGTTTGGGGCCTCTGGTAAAAGAAAAGTCCCTCAAAGGCAGAAAGAAGTAAAGAAATAGAGGACCTAACGGTGAACCTGGCTTTCTTTATCCTTTTGCTTTGTGTTGGTTCTGATTCTCAAGGCATATAGAATTAATTGGTGGACAGTGTCCTGATGAAGTGTCACTTTTTGTTGGATTAGGTTATTCACCTGGGAAGAACCTGGCATGTAGCAAATACTCATAAATATTTGTTCATTTGTGAACGAATGAATGCTCCATCAGTGTCTTGTTACAGGAAGGGGCCAGGGTGAAGTGATTAAGAGGCCAGACAGACAAACCTGGGTTTGTCCCTCAGCTCTGCCAATTGCTGGTTTTGTGACCTTAGGCAAATTACCTCCTTGGGCCTCAGTTTTCTTAGCTATCAAATGGGGTTTAGTACAGGACTTCCTCCATAGGATGATTATGAAAATTTTCCTTCCTCTGGGCCTCAGTTTCTCCAACTACCACATAAACAATTTGCATGAGTTGATAATGCAAATAAGGTCTATCAGTTAGGAATTGTGTTCCGGCACCTGGCACTGACACCAGATGGTGGCTTAGCAATAAAAGGATTTGTTTTTCTCATGTAACAAGGAGTGTGGAGGAAGGGAGTCCAGAGTTTACGTGACAACCCTGCCTGCATGCTGTCCAGGACTGAGGCCTTTCTGTAGCTTCTTCCTCCACCATCCTTAGCAAATGAATGTGCTCTTGTTTTCAAAATGGTGATCTCTGATCAGCAAGGAGGAGGAAAGGTGAAGGGCAGAAGATGCAGTCCAGCAAACCGTCACCTTTAAAGGGCATTCCTGGAAGCCACATGTCTCACTGGCCCAAATACGGTCACAGGCCCATCTTAGCCAAAAAGGAAACTGGGAGGATTTTAACTGAGCATGTTGCCTGCACAGGAATGGAGGCTTCTGCTGGTATGAGAAAATGGAGAATGGGTATTGGGAGGCAGACAAATAGGCCAATGAGTGTTGACCACCCAAGGCAGTCAGGGAATAATCATTATATTACTATAAACCCATCTGCATTTATATAGGCATATAAAACTATAAATATAAAATTTATATGTGGTTTTAGGCCAGAGGCACCTAATTAAAAAAGAAAACCTTACCCTTTGATTATGAGTCATTTAGAAGACTCTCTGCCTTCTGTTTCTAGAATCCCGTTGTCTTTAGTGAAGGATTCTGTTTCTGATTTCTTACCTAGCTACCAAGGCAGAAGTCTCTACAGGAAAACGCACCTCTTCATGAGGAGACCCCTTGGCGTAGATGTCGGGAGATAAGTCACGACTTGTGTGGGGCTGGCTTTGGTGATCTCATCCTGGCATTTTAAGAAATGTGAATGGGGCATCCCTTTGTGATTGTCATCACTTTTCCCAGTGGTTTCCAACTACGTGGGTGTGACAGCTGTATGAGGTCTTTGGAAGCCCACCCCAGTGGAGAACAAGGCTTGGGGGAAGCGAGAGATGCTGTCTGATGATCGAGTGAATGAAATCATCATCGAGGTTGAGAATATTCCATCTGGGGTCCCAAGCCACCCTTCCTCAAGTCAGATTATTCCAGAAAAGACACTGGCGAACTCAAGCTTCAGCATGCTCTCATCCACTTCTGACATCGATGTGATAGACTCTCCAATTTTCCGCAGCCAGAATGACAAAAAGAGCAGGCTGTGGTTGCAGTTTTCAACATCTTTGAATGAATCGTTTTCTCAGATTCACCGTAACCCAAAAAGCATGGGCATAGATGCTCTTTGTACTTCGCATGAAAAGATTTAAGGTAGTAAGACTGGGGAAGGAGTTAAGAAAGGAGCAGGAAAGACCTCCCACTTGCAGGGTTTTTTAGTTTTAAGATGTTAAGTAGGTTAAAGGTTTGGTAGATGACCTGAGGATACTGGGGGCTTAAGGAAGGGGTCACTTTGAAAGCATCTAACACCTAAAAAGAGTCTGTCTTGATCAAGCTCATTTCCTGTGCCTGCTGCTCTGCTAAGCACTTCCTTTTTGTTATCCACTGAATTTAGTTTCATTTATTCCCCCTACTTTGAGGCAGGTACGTTTGTTACTTCCTTTTGTTTGATGAGGAAACTGAGGCTCAGGGGAATGAAATGATCAGGGACCCAAATGCAGGTCTGCCTGCTTCCCAAGCCTGACACCTTAACCACCACCCTGCTTTGGTCCAGTTCCTCCCGACTCTGGATGTGGCAACATGGGATGCCTCTTACTGACAAGTCTGCTCTGGAATCAGGTCTCAGCCAAGACCTTTCTGCCTCTTGGCTCCTGAGGCCAGACATAGTTTGGTTTCTTGGATGCTGTTTCTGTTTCATCCCATAGTGTTCCAGGTATAAAGTCCAGATTATTTCCAAGTGATTCTAAGAGAAGAGGAAAATCTTTTCACACCAAAGCATTTTGTGGGTTTAGACCCTTTACTGAAGATTGGAGTGTCTCCTCTTCAGCTGCTGTCTCCCTGCATCTCTGTGTTTTATTCTCTTCCTCCCTTATCTTTTCTTTCTCTCTGTCTGCTCCTTCTTCCCTCTCTGGAGAGAACAATTCCTCATCCTCAGTGGAGTGATTTGGTGGCCATCTCCTGGGGAGTCAGTCCCCTTTCACCTCAATTAAGTCATTAAAATGAGGAGTTCCAGCTTAATAAAGTAACCAGCAAGCCAGCCTGCTCCCTCTGCCACCCCATCCAGCCCTCAGCCGGCTTCCTCACTGTTACAGGACGGTGACAGCAGCTCCAGGTGTCACATGCAGGCACAACAACATCCAGAGGAAGAAATCTGTCTTTTGCTTATTCTTTGAGTTTTCCTTTTTTGAGAAGGACAAAACCTTTACGGCGAGGTTGCTCAGAAGACTGTCCCTTGACCAACATCTTGCCATGTGCACGTGCCCAAATCGGTCACCTGCAGCAGGACAGGACCATCAGGATTGGCTTGGACCTGCCTCCTGTGCCTAGATAGGGATCCCACTATCAGAAGCTCAGGGCCATGGGAGAGAAGGGTAGATTCCTAAAGTAAACTGGAATGCTATTAAAAAGGAGAGGTGGCTTTGGGGTAGGTGACCAACAGTGTCTGCCATGCTGACCAGAAATGTGAATTAATGGGAGCAGAGGGGGAATGCTGTCCAGGGGGTGGAAGAGTGGTAAGTCAAGGAATATAAAGAAGGCTCTTGGCCCAGAGTGCAGGGGGTGGCAATAGAAACCAGGGCAGGATGTTAAAGCTGGGCAAGGAGAACGAGGCTGACCAAATGTGCAGAGGATCTTGTTGGGCTGGCTTCAGTAAATGTTTCTTGTCCCACAAAAAGGAAAACACTGAATGGGAACTGCATGCAAACATTATTATTTGCTTTGGCTTTGAGGTTTAACCCACACGCCTGTCATTGTCTTATTTGTGTTTGTGATCTTTGGGATCACTGAGTCCATATATTCTTCCCTTGTGTTCTTATAAAAGCATGCTCTAACTTCAGCACCATATTTTAAAATGCTAATATTCTGATAAAGGAAAGAAAAATCAAATTCTGTTAATTTTCTTCTGCAGGACAAAAGTTAATTGCATCTTTGATCCCCATGACATCTAGAGACAGAATTAAAGCCATCAGGAATCAGCCAAGGACCATGGAAGAGAAAAGGAATCTTAGGTACAGATCACAAGCTTTTCCTTTTTCCCAGATTTTATGCAAATGTCAGTCTTCTACTTTTGCCATATCAGAAATATAAGAAATAGGCGAATGTAAGAGAAGAGACAGTCTTCTTGCAGAATTCCAAACAGTCTGCATAGGCACCCTTTTCTCCTCTGGCTTAGGGTGTGGACTGTGCTTAGTGACCTCCTTCTGAAGAGTAGAGCATGGAATGGAGGGGAAAGCAACTTTCCAGTGGCAAAGCCCGGCTAGCGCTGCCTCAGACAGGCGATCAAGGTTAGCACCCCAGAGATGTGTGACCAGAAGGACGCGGTTTCTCTGTGCAACTCTCTGAAAACCTGTAACCCAAATCTAACCAGAGGAAAATTAAGGAAAACCCCGACTGAGGGACGTTCTACAGAATACCTGACCAGCACTCAAAATGGTCAAGGTCATCAGAAACAAGGGAAGTCTGAGAAATGGGCACAGAGTAGAGGATTCTGAAGAGATGTGACAACTAAATGAATGTGGGATGGGATCCTGTAACAGAAAATGCACATGGGTATGGAAAAGCCAGCAACACTGAAATAGTCTAGTGTTGAGGTTACAGTAATATACCAATCAACCTACCATGGAAATGCAAGATGGTAATGGGAAAATGGTGAGTGGTATATGGGAATTTTCTGTACTGTTTTTGCAACTTTTCTAATAAATTTCGAAGTACTCAAAAATAGAGTTTATTAAAAAGAACCCAGAAAAATCCAAACCAAAAAAAAAAAAAACCTGAGGAGCTTTCTAAGCCCAGAAATTCAAACACAAGAGTGAGGGCTGTTTTTGCCTTCAAACTTTACATTTACTGTTCCTCAGCCTTTTCCTTTTGCTTTTTGCTGTTTGTAATACTTGGCAGAAACTAGAAGAATGGGTGCAACTATTGCTGATAAGTAATTCAGTGATGCAGTTTTTCTGAGGTTGCAAAGGTAACTTTCAAAGTCTGGCGGGGGAGATGGGTTGGTCAATGAGTAACTTTTAAATGGCAGAAAGAATCAGGCCAAATCAAACTGGAGGAGGTTGCTGCAGAGGACAAGGAGTGACACAGCCCCTTCGGCAGAGCAGGGGGCACAGGTGGGCCTAGCCTTGGGAGATGGTGATGTAGGTAGGGGTGGCATTTGGGATGAAACAGAGGAAGCCAGGAAAGAACCAAAGTAGATGTAATGAGTTTGTGAGAAGGTAGAGAGCAACTGCGCCTGGATCGTTGTGAAAACTTCCATTTCACACCTTGTTCTGCTCCCTCTCAGGGAGAAAGGGCCGTATGATGGCCCCAGAGACTTGACAGCAGCACTTCCTAGCTTCAGCCCGCCTGACGTTTGGGGCTGCATCCCTCTCTGTTGCGGGTGGGACAGCTGTCCAGTTCAGTGTAAGGGGTTTGACAGTGTCCCGGCCTCTGCCCGCTAGATGTCAGTAGCACCCTCTTCCCCCCTAGTAGACTGACAACCGGAAAAACCTCCAGACATTGCCCCTGTAGGGCAAAATGTCCTCCACTTGATAATCACTCAAGGACATACAGGATCTCCCCACCCACCTCCCCCCGCCACCAATCCCCACAGTTAGCAACCACACCTTCCTCCTTTCTCCCTGCTCATTTCCTGGGTCCTTGCACTTCAGGTGGGCTCTTCCCCTGCACAGGGCAATCTGTCATCCATAAGACCAACCCCTCCCCCTTTCAAGCCCTTGCACAGTCACTGTGCTATTCCAAATTGTAAGGGGGCCCCTGTCCCAGAATTTCCCATCTTCCTTCCCATAGTACATATCACCTTCTGATGTACTATATAGTTTCCCTAGCTTATTATTATACTTCATTATTTACTGTCTTTCTCTTCCAACTTGGAAGTCAGCTCCATGAACCAGGGAAATCAGTTTCTTTATCTGACTACCTGGGACCTTCCTTGGCATGTTGTAGGCTCTCAGTAAGTATTTGGGGAGTGAACCTCTCACTCTTTCCTGCCCTTCCTCTCAGGAAAATAGTTGACAAAGAGAAAAGGAAGCAGTCCTATCACATCCTTGAGCTCTGCTGCTGTGCTCAGTGTCTGAACTCCATTTCCCTGGTAAGTCAGCCTTTACTGCAGTCAGTAAAATGGGCACAAGAAGGCAAGAACAGGGAGTGGCAGGGTGGGGATGACAGGAACCAGAATTCAGGGCTGTTTCATGGAAAGCCATAGATCTGGGTCCATCTAGGCGTGGGGAAACCAGGCCAGCATGCCAGTGTCTTAAGAGACTGGCTGAGTTACTGGGGTAGGTTAGCCACTGTGAGTGTCACCTTGAGCAGCAAACCTGGGAAGGTAAAAATATCACTCCTCGTAGCGGGTGGTCCTGCAGATTCAGTGAGGTAATGTTTGCAGACACATTTAGCACAGTGCCTCCCACTTCATCATGCTGTAGAGACAGTAGTCTTCTTTGCTCTTATGGGACCTGCTCAATAAATACTTGTTGAAGGAATGTCAAGCCACATGCTTTGTGTCTGTACCCAGGCATACCGGCGATCTAAAAACAGCCTGTTGGAACTGCTCGGTTCTATTAGCTTTTGGCAGAAGACGCTTAAGGTCATCAGAGGCAAGTTCGGAACCAGCGTCCTCTCCTATTTCAACTTTCTGAGGTGGCTTTTGCAGTTCAACATTTTCTCCTTCATTGTGACCTTCAGCTTCATTATAATCCCTCAGTTTACTGTGGCCGAAGAGAACACCCTCCAGTTCACTGGATTGGAATTTTTCACTGGGGCAGTAAGTTCTCCATTTCCCCCACCCAGAGGTCACCACCTGGGAAACCCAGGGGCCTAACTCTCTGGTCACCTTTCCAGACCTCTCATTTGACCTGGGAGTCAACTGAGAGGGAAAGGGGGTGTTTAAAATGGCTTTATTTTTTCCCCAAATGTAATATATATACAACATAGTAGAATTTCTGTCTCCAGAGGTAACCATGTTAACAGTCATGTTCAGAATCCTTCCCTGTACACATATAGACACACAAATGCATGGACATATGCATCCATTTTTTTTTTTTTTACTAAAGATGAATTACTCATATGTGCTGCCTACAACTTAACTTTCTTTCACATAATATGTGGTGAACACCTTGTATTGATGTTCATAGGTCTACCTTTTCTTTTCTACAAAATACATACTCCTTTTGAAAAATGCCTGCTATAAAAAAGAAGGAACTAAAAGTTCATTTTACCCTTCTTCCCTTGTCTAGCACCCCAGTTCAGAGTGTTATCTTTGTCTACAGTTTTTCTTCCTATACAGACATAGATAGATAAATACATACATTCCTATATAGGTAGATACAGAAGTAAACATTTTCTTTTTAAATAAAAAGGTGATAGTATACTACAAGTCTTGCTTTACAATTTTATTTCAAAATTTTATTTATCCTGAGCCTCTATAAAGATCCACATTATTCTATTTTACCAGCAACCATAATTTATTTATCTAGCATACAGCCCCTTGTGAGTTTATCTTCTAGAAGGGATTTCTGCCATTGAGATTCTGTAGACGAGAGATTGACACACTACAGCCCAGGGCCTATACCTAAATCTGGTCTGCCACCTACTTTTGTACAGCCTGCAAACTAAGATGGGTTTCTACATTTTTAAATGGTTGAAAGAAAAATCAAAAGAAGGATAGCATTTTGTAAATACAACAATTATATGAAATTTAACTTTGTGCCCCTAAAGAAAGTTCTTTTAGGACATGGCCACATGCCTTTGTGTACATGTCTATGCTGCTTCCCTGCTTAGGTGACAGGTGGAGTCCTTGCTGCAGCTGCCATGTTGGCCTGCCAAGCCAAAGATAGTCACTAGATATTATCTAGCAGAAAAAGAACAAAGGTTGCTTACTCTTGCAGTAGAATGTTCAAAGTAAGACTCTTCTATTCCAACCTTTTTGTTTTTCTGTTAACATTTTTTGCCTTGGGGTAGATGTGTTAAAATGAAATTACTGTGTAAACTTCTCCTTCGTTTTTGTCTCACTACTGTGTATATTCTGTATATTTGCATATACGAAACAGTTTATTATGAAAAATTTGGAACATCCATGAAATAAATAGTAATAAACACCCTTATGCCCACAACATGGATTTTAAAATTGTTAACATTTTGCTATATTTGTTTTATGTTACTATTTTTGGAAGCATTTTATAGTAAATTACAGACATCAAGATATTTCACTCCAAATTTCTTCAGCATGCATCTCTGAAAAATAAGGGTGCTTTCATGCAGTCACTATACTATTATTACACCCAACAAAATTCAAAATTAATATTGTCTGAAATCCAGGACATAATTGAATTTTCCCAATTGTCCCCAAAATGTCTTTCACTGCTCACTTGTTGAAGAAACTAGGCCAGTTATTAGGTAGGTTCCAATGTCCTCCCTTCTGATATTGGTTGTTTCCTTGTGGTGTCTCTAATTTGTTCCTCTGGCCTCGTAGTTCCTAAAAATTGAAATTTAGACGTAAAGACTTGATTTACTTCATATGAACCATGTTTGACCAAAGTACGTAATAGATGACAGAGGTATGATGGCTGGTTGTCCAGCCTTCAGTCATGGTTTGCTTGGTCACTGGGTCCAGGTGGTGACAACTGGGTCCCTCCATTATAAAGTTACATTGGTTTGAGATTCCTTTTCAACTCTAAGAGCCAAGCAACAAGCTGTCTAGACTTCAGTGGACTTGTGTGCCCCTTCCTGGCAAAATGTCTAAACTGGTGCAAGTTTCTTGCATATGGAAGTGGTCCACTGTGCTGACCATAGTCATTCATCATTTTCTGAGAGATGCACTTGACCTGGGATTAATTGTTCCTCTCAGGGTTACTTTAGGGACACAGTGATGTACTATGGCTTTTACACCAATTCCACGATCCGGCATGGGAACAGTGGGGCATCCTACAACATGCAGCTGGCCTACCTCTTCACCATCGGAGCCTGTTTGATCATCTGCTTTTTCAGTTTGCTATTCAGGTATGCATTGTCTGCTTCCTGATTCTAAAGTCTTTTTAGATTTAGGCAAAATTCAAGAGACTCAGAAGTCACCCAGGAACCAGTTTCTCTGCAATGTTGACTTTCTATTGTTGTCTGGTCATTCCTTGTCCTATAACCTAAAATATAAGTTTGAACAATGGAAGAGAGGTTTTCATATGCTTTTAAAGAAATTGGTCAGTCTGAAAATAAGGATGCTGTGACGCAAGCAGTTATAGGGACAGAAAACACAGAGGGATAATTGTCAAAAGGAGGTCCAGATGTTCAATCTTTGTATTAGTTTACTAGGTCTTCTGTAACCAAGTACCACAGACTGGGGGACTCAAACAGAAATTTATTTTCTCAAGTTCTGGAGGCTGGAGTCCCAGATGGCGGTGTCAGCAGTATTGGTTTCTTCCGAGAACTCTCCTTGGCTTGTAGATGGCCACCATCTCGCTGTGTCCTCATGTGGTATTCTGGGTCCTAATTTCCCCTTCTTATAAGGGCACCAGTGGGTTACAGTGGGCAGAGTGGATTACAGTCCACCCTGATGTCTCATTTTAACTTGAACCTGTCTCCAAATACAGTCACTTTCTGAGGTCTGGGGGTTAGGATGTCAACATATGAATGTTTAGAAGATATGACTCAGCCCCTATCAACCTTACGGCCAGCACAATAATTAAAAGTAAAGTGAGATTTCATTTTTTCCTATCAAACTAGGAAATGTTTTTTAAGCTGCTGTTACTCTGTGGTAGCAATGTTTGGAAAGGGAGCTCCAGTTCACTCAGCATTTTTTCAAGTGCCAGGCTCTGTGCTATGTGCTTCCTGGGCCTGATTTCACTGAGGCCTACCGACATCTCCATAATAATAGCAGCTTTCTTTATGAGTGCTTGCTGCTTAAGTGCTATACTGACTTCTGTCGAAGACTGAGTAATGCCCCCCACCTTCCAAAGGTGTCCTGGTCTAATCCTCAGAACCTGGGAATATATTACCTTAAATGGCAAATGGAACTTTGCAAATATGATTACCTTAAGGATCTTAAAATGGGCCACTGTAATCAGAAGGGTCCTTTTAAGTGGGAGGTAGGAGGGTCAAAGTCAGAGACAGAGTAGAAGTTGCTCCTTTGCTGGTTTTGAAGATGGAAGGGGCCACAAACCCAGAAATGTGGGTGACCTCTAGAAGCTGAAAAGGCAGACAAACAGAATCTCCCCCAAAGCTTCTAGAAGGAATATAACTCATTTGACACCTTGATTTTAGACTCAGTTTCTGATTTCTGACCTCTAGGAAGAGAATACATGTGTGTTGTTTTAAGCCACTAAGTTTGGGATAATTTGTTACAACAACAAAAGGAAGCAAATACAGCTTCATAACCCTGTGAAGTGGGTACTAGTATTATCCCCCTAATAGAGATTTGGAAACGGAGGCTCAGAGCATTTAAAATGATAAGGATTCCCTAGCTGGGAATCCAAGACTGGAAACCAGGCTGTCAGAACCCAGAGCCAGCGCTCTCAACCATTATGTTTGTGATTGCGCTGTTCCAGGACTTAGGGCTGACGCTTCCGTGGTGCCTTTTGCCATTGGTCATAAGACCTTCCTTTGTTTCAAATCCTGCACTCCCCAGTGCCTGTCCTAGTAACTCTTGGGTATTTTGGTTTCTGCCCTCCCTAGCATGGCCAGATATTTCCGGGACAACTTCATTAACCCCCACATTTACTCCAGAGGGACTGCTAAACTTATTTTTTGCTGGGACTTCACTGTCACTCATGAAAGAGCTGTAAAGCTGAAACAGAAGAATCTTAGTACCGAGATAAGGGTAAGGCAAGCTTGCTTCACACACCTTCCCCTGGCCATTCTTCTCTGTTTGTCTATAGCCTTTCTTAAAGTAACAGTGTTGTTATTTTGTTATTGCCCATAGGATTGTCCAAAAAAAACCCCCACAAAAACCAAAAACAAAACACAAAAACTTAAAAAATGTATAATACCTAGTGTTGGTGATGGAGTAGGGAAATGACATTTTCATATGACATGGTGGCTTTATGATTGGTACAAACTTACAGGAGGGAGATGTATATAAAAATGTTAAATGTAAATACTTCTTGACCTCCCAGTTACAAGTTTAAAATTTCATCCAGTGGTTTTCAACTTCGGGCACTTTTTCCCCTCCGAGGACATATGGCAATGTCTGGAGATTTTTTGGCTGTTAATTTCAGTTGGAGTAGGATCCTACTCATGTCTAGTGTGTAGAAGCCAGGGATACTGCTGAATATCTTGCGGTTCACAGGATAGCTGCCATGACACAGAATTCTGACTGAAAACTTCAGTCGTGCTGAGGCTGAGAAACCCCAGTCTACAGCAAAAAGTTAGTAAAAAGAAAGCAAGCAGAATTTGTAAACAAAGGGGCTTTGATAAGAGAGTCGCCACCGTTAACTTCCTTGGTGGAGATACCCAGCCTTATTCTTCAAGAAAGTTCCGTGACCTCAACGTACTTTCCTCAAGAACACAGCCCCAATTTGTTGGTCCCATCTTTTCTCTAAGTTAGAAGAGGCATTTGATGGCCGTTCTTGGCCCATCTGAGATTTTCCCACAGGTTTCCCATATTCTGTGTTCTTCATGAACTTTCCCTTCTCTATCACCTGTAGATCTGGGATGGGGTGTGTCTTTAGGAGCCGTGAGTATTCACCTGGTGGGGGTGGTGGGGTCTTTGCAAACACTGGAAAGGGATCTGTAGGCCAACTTGATTTCTTTGTGTTTACAGGAGAACCTGTCAGAAATCTGTCAGGAGAATGTCAAGTTAATGCTCAATCAGCGGCTGACTCGCGTGTCTGCCCACCTGGCAGCCTGGATCATCTCTACCGGAGTGGCTGCTGCCTGCTGCGTAGCTGTTTATTACCTGGCTGAGAACAACTCAGAGGTAACCAGAGAGGCAGGAGCACTGGCATTCAGAGCACAGAAAACCCGGTGAAGGGACCAGATGCCGGAATGGGAGAGAGGTGTTGAGCCTGCTATTCAGACTGGGGTCTGTGGTCAGCAGCATTGACATCTGCTGGAAACATGTTAAAAACTGCACAATCTTGGATCTATGGACTCAGGAGCCTGGCTACAGTCTTGTGACTCCTGGGCCATGGACTCAGAATCTGCATCCAAACAACGTCCCAGCAGAGGAGCGTGCACATGTCGGAGTGAGCAGCCCTGGGCTAGGGGAGAGATGGGACCTTCAACTGCAGACCTGAGATCGAGCTCTGGTTTCCTCATTTCCTATTACATCCCTAATGCCTCCCACAGCCACTGGCACTGAGCAGCCTCAATAAGAGTTGTGATCTGATGGACTTTGGCAAGTGATTTCACCTTTCTGAGCTCTAGATTCCTCTCCTGTAAAATGGGGATGATCATACCTGGCTTTGTAGGTGTGTGGTCAGGGCTGGAGAAAGGTTATGTGGAGAGACTCCTCAGTTTCTGGTACTGTGGTGATGAAGGAACATTAACTTTTTTCTTTTTTATGATATGAACTTTGAGACTAATTAGCTGGATGGCTGGGCAAAGTACTGTTTTTCTGTAGGTTTCAGCTTTCTCCTCTGGCAAATGGTGCCAAATGTAGCCAGTTTTGCTGACCTCTAGAATTATGGTACAGTTGGTCTGATTATGTCATTTTCTTCAGTGGCTTCCCATTACCCTGAATATAACATCTGTTCTCTGTGGCATGACTGATTGATCTTTCATGCTCTGACCCCTGTCCACATCTTTAGCCTCAACACTCCACAACCACCCATATCCTACACCAGCAACACTAACTAGTGCGTCTGTAGTTTCCCGAACACACCGTGCTTTTCCTTGTCTCTGGGTGGGAAACATGAAGTTCATTTTGTACCCGACCTCTCCTACTTCCCTTTATCTGCCAAATTACTCTTCCTTTTCTGGACCTCTGCATGGATGTCACTTCCTCCAGGAAGCCTTCTTCCACAACCACCACCACTCTCACTAGGCTGAGTCGGGTGCCCCTGACTCTGCAAGCTTTCCCTGTGCACTTGTCACACACAATATGTATTGAAAATACCTGCTTATGCATCTGTGTCTTCAAAAGACCATAGCGAGGCTCCTGACCCAATACCTGGTATAAAGAAGGCACTCAACCAAATGGATGAATAAGTGAAGGAGAAGCCAGAAAGAAAATGGGCGTGGGATTATACAAACCTAAGCACTTGTCACTAAATGTATGCAGGCGGGCCCTGAAAGAGGGGAAATTGAGTCACAGTCTTTATCGGCTTGACAATGCCTACCTAGGGTAGGAACTGTGGCCAGGCAGCTGTTAGGCATAAATAAGATCTCTCAGTTCCGTCTTCATCCAGGAGTTTTCTCCAGGCCCACCTGAGGTGAAGGAGGGTGACTAAGAGGTGAGGAAGGAGAAGAGAATCATTCTTGTTATTGGGGCATCTGCTCTCTGCCTGGCAGGATGAACCTTTTGCACAGCTCCAGGGCCCACTGTTCACGTGCAGCTGCAATTGTGTGTGAACGGTGCAGCAGCTGTGCTGCTTAGGGGCCAGGCCTTGCCTTGTTTGGTTTCATTGTATCCTTGCCTCTGTGGGTTATGTGGTCATCTCCCCACTGTACAGGTGGGGAAAAGAGGCTCAGACCCTGCAGCTTATAAGCAGGGGACGAGGCAGCACTTGAACCCAGGTTATCCAGGATCCAAAGATACTGCCAAAAGTGTGCAAGTGGTGCTTTCAAATCCATCCAGAGGTAGATGCAGGCAGCATCAAGCCTGGGGGAGGGCAATATGGGATGTCAGATGAGTCCACTAGAGTCCCTTACTCCAAGGACACCTGGCCGAGAGCTTGGGCTCCACTCGGAACAAAGCTGAGGGTGCAGTACTCACGTGAAAGAGGGGTACCTCTCTGGACCTCATACAAAGGTGTGGCATGGGTTAGCAAAGGCTGCTGTTCCCCTTAATTCAGCTCCCAAGGGCATCCAGAGCCTGGTAAAAGTGAGCAGGGCCATGCGGGACTGGGAGGAGAAATTCCATGTGACCCAAACCCTGTGCTGTGGCGCAGCAGACTCAAGCTCTTGCTCCAGGAGCCAGGAAGCACATTCTCATTGCCCCAGGCCTCTTGGTAAGGTAGGATAGTCACAGAATGGCTGTGTGTGCTCATGCACCCAAGTCAGATAGACCTGGGTTCAGATCTTCCACTTCTTGGCTGGGTGATCCTGGGCAAGCATCTTTGCCTCTCTTGAGTCTCAGTTAGCTAATCAGATAAATCTGTTAAGAACTACCTGCTGGGCTGCAGTGGGGATTAAGTGCCAGCATGTGGGTAATGCTTGGCATGGCTTAAGTAGCATTCTGCAGTTTTCCAGGTGGCAGAGGGGGTCTTCTGAGTGAAGCAGAGAGGAGTCCAGTGCATGCTTGGCATCTCGATTCTCTCCCTTTATCCTCTGCAGTTCCTGAAGAGCCACAGGAACCCTGGGGCGGTGCTGTTACTGCCTTTTGTTGTGTCCTGCATCAACCTGGCTGTGCCACGCTTGTACTCCATGCTCAGGCTGGTGGAGCGGTATGAGATGCCACGGCACGAAGTCTACATCCTCCTCATCCGGTAGGTGTGTTTGTCACACACAGCACCAGCCTCCATTTCCGTGGAGGGAAATGGGGTGGGAGCTAGAAGGAGTTCTGCTTAGTAGCAAAGTTCTGTCTTCCTGAAAGAATTTCAAGAGTAAAATGTTTATATGTTATGGGTTAACAGCCATCAAATCCGAAGATCCCTAAGAATACAGTTAAAGACATCTGCCTTTTGCTCAAAGTAATGCTGAGGATTAACATAGTTCTCAGTTCTGGGATGTACAGATGTGTGGGTTGTGCACTGCACAGAGGTGCTTGGTGAGTTGTTACACGGGGACTGAAATTATCCAGTGTTCCTATTAGTCACACTGTGAGCCCTGGTATGCACTGCATCAGCTGGGAGGAAGAGATGCCTTTTTATAATTACCCATCCAAGTGCTTCTGGCAATTCATTGGCTGGAAGGGGAGTGTTTTTTGTGATTCCCACAAAAGCGTTGTATGTGCTAGAGGCAACTCCAGGGTTTTTATTTTAAAAATGAAGAAAACTACGCAAATTTAGTTCTTACTGCTTTTTCCTGGCTAGTTCCCTGACCAGTTCCTGGTTATGGCGTTTTTAATAAGAAGCTGTACAGTGCAGATTGAGTTTCTTTACTGATTGATTCCAGAGCTCATTGCCTCTCAGATCTGGCTCCTGATGAGCTCTCCAACCTCATTTTCTACCCCTCTCCCCCTAGCTGAATGCCCCCTCTCCCAGATGACTGTTTACAAACATGCCAAACTGCATACTCACCTTTGGACCTTTGCCCAGGCCATTCCTCTTTCTGGAATGCTCTTCCTCCAGATAGCACATCTATGTTTATATTTTCTTCATACAGATCTGACACATTTTTGTTACTGTTAAATTTATGACAAGGATATTTACACACACACACACACACACACACACACATCCAGGTTTTAGGTCAGGGTTTGGGGAACTACAGCCTGAAGGCCCAGCCTGCCTCCCATTTTTTTATCAATTAAGTTTTATTGGGACATGACCACACCCATTTGTTGACTTATTGTCTGTGGCTGCCCTCCAGCTATAACAGAGTTAAGTAGTTGTGACACAGACTGTATAGCCCATAATGTTGAAAATATTTACTATCTGGCCCTTAATGTAAAAAGTTTGCTGATCAATGTTTAGTTAATCTATACATGTATAATTTTCCTGAAGAAAAAGCCCTAGCAAGCCTTTCTTCTACCCACTCTCTACCACTAGATGCCTCTTTTTCGTGGTTAGAAACAATTGGAATTTTTTAAATAAAAAAAATGAAATTTTCCATTTTTACCATTTTTAAGTGTATAATTCAGTGGTGTTAAGAGAGTTTTTAAAAAACATATTCATTAACAATAAGTTTCACTGGTTTTGTTGCTCACCAGTAGTTGCTAGATGTATTCTACTTACAACCTCTTCTTTTTCCTCTTTATTATTAACAGAAGATAAATTATTTTGGAGTAGGTCTGGGGACAGCCAAATTTCTAAGGACTTCCATGTTCCAACATATTTTTTCTACTTTAATGAGGGTTTGGATGGGCCAAAGACTCTATCCTGACTAATGTCTTCCAAAGTCCCCAGGTATTGCTCTAAGATTTTTCTGGTATCTGTTGTGGTCAAATAATCACCCAGCTGCCCTTCCTAGACCCGTCGTATCAGCGGGTGAAAGTGAGCAAGGCCACACAGGAGTGGGAGGAGAAATTCCATGTGACCCAAACCCTGTGCTTGCTTGGCTTCAGTTCTTAGCTCCCTGTAACTACCATCTGAGGCTGTCCTCTGCTGAATTTGTTTTAAGCTGGGATTTTCTCCAGTTTTATTTCTCCATCCAAGCCCCTTTCATCTTTCTGTCTTTCTATCCTTTATTTCTTCTTTCTGTATTCCATAAATTCCTCCAGATTGCTGGTCTGTTCATGTTGACGTGACTTGTTTTCCATTGCTTTTGTTACCTTTTAGCTTTTAACATTTCTATGATTTCAGTAGAATTTGGATGGTGGGGTAGCGGCCGTGTATGCTCAGCGTGCCATTTTGAACCAATTGCTTTGTTATTTAGTTTGCATCTTCCTGATCACTAGAGAAGTTAATTGTCCTTTAAGATACATTAGCCATTTGTATTGCTTCACAAAATGTTCAAAATTTTCTCTACGTAAAGAGGAAATGGGAAAGCTCAGAAATACACAATTCTTTTTCAATCAAGAGAAGCTTTTCTCAGCCTGGAAGAGTATGTTTTCAAGTTTAATCTGGAGCCACACTGCAATAAAAGAATACTATTGATCTAGTAAATATTGGAGGTCTACTTTGGGATAGGTGCTGGGTGGGAAGGAAGTTGGGAATCTGGCATTGGAAAAGACAGATCCTGTTCCTTTCCTTCACAGATCTTTGAAGGTAGCACAATGGTTCTCAACCTTCAGCATGCACCAGAGTTACCTGGAGGGATTGCTTGGCTTCATCCCCAAGGTTTCTGAGTCAGTGGGTCTGGAGCAGAGCCTGAAAATTTGCCTTTCTAGCAAGTTGTAGATGATGCTAATGCTGCTGGTCTGGCACAACCACACTTTGAGAGTCACTGATCTAGTGGCACATGATTTTTGGCACACAGATGCCGAAGCCTTATTAAAACCAGCAGGTAGCAATTTAGGCAGAGTGACTGGGTTTAAGAGCTCAGATGTCCCTCAGTTTGAATCTTTGTCATACCTCTGACAGGCTGCATGACCTTGGACACATTATTCCATCTCTCTGAGCTTCAGTTTCCTCATCAGTAAGATAGGCATAAAATATTATCTGCCTGATGATAGAATTGTAAAAATTAAAAGGGATGATTCAGTAAAATTCTTAGCACAGTGTACTGTCCATGGTCAGTACCTAATGAAAAGTACATACATTTATTACAGTGAGAAATGAAATCAAATAGTTTGGTCATGCACCAAAGGAGGGTATAACCGTCAAAATCAATTAGGTTCCACTGCAGTGACCAACATCCCCCCTCCCCCAGATCTCAGGGCCTTAAGACACCAAGGTCTCTTTCTTGCTCATGCTACATGTCCATTGGGGATTGGCGAGGAAGGTTTGCTTGTGTCAGTCATGCAGGGATCCAGGCTGAGAGAGCAACAACCGTCTTAAATATTGCTGATGGCCCTTCCAAAGGGAAGACAATGAGTTCTGGAAAGTCTCAGGGGCATTTAAGTGCTCCAGCCTAGAAATGACACAAAATGACACACATCACTTCGGCTCACAGCTCATCTAGCAGAACTAGCCATAGAGCCCGGCTCCAACCACAGGGCAGGGTGGGAATTTCAGTTGTGCCCAAAAAGAAATATTGGCAAACAGCACTCCTGACTGCCCTGGAGGGTAATGACATTTGTTTCCTCTTCTGTTACTTAGAAACATCTTTCTGAAAATATCCATCATTGGAATTCTTTGTTACTATTGGCTCAACATTGTGGCCCTGGCTGGTGAAGAGGTAAGATTTCCATGCTGTTCTGTCTTATGTTTGCTTTCATGAACTTTGACCACCAGGAAGGAATTGAGTTGCAAGTTTCTTAAGAGGTTCTGCTCATGAAATTAGATCAGGTGTTATGTTATCCTTCTGTCCTTGTGTCCATCCATTTATCCATTCCATCCACCTGTTTATCTGTCCATTTATCCATCCATCCTTTGGCCATGCACCCAAAACTTCGCTCTCCTCCTTAACCAAACCTAAAAGCTCCCAGTCCATCTGCTCAAAATAGTACTGACTTCCTTCAGTGGGAATTGGCCACCAGTTTCATAAACTAATTCAGCCTTCTAGTTTATGCCAGCCTGCTAAATCTCTAGGCCACTTTCCTAGTCAAGCAGATATTAATTGATTTTTCATAAGGTTAATAAGCAAAAAGAGTGGAGGCATTATGAGTCATTGACACCGTCTGCTCTCACTAGCTGAGATGTGGAATCCAGAGGGTACAGGATAGAGATGAAAAGTTTTAAGAGGAGAGATAGTGAGAAGGGAACATTTGGGTACCTGCAGAGAGCAAGCCTTAATAGGGAAAGGGGGGAGCACAGAAAGGAATAAACATCCTTGAAAACCAACAGGCAAATGGTGAGTTTCTGCCTAGAGTGTGTCTGCTTTCCTGGGTTTACAGGGACAGACGGAGCCACCAGCCTTGTCCTAATGAGTCCAGGTTGCCAGGAACAGAATTGAGGAGAGACAACAGCCCCTTCCCACATCCTGACTCTTGTTTAACCTTTCAGTGTTGGGAAACCTTCATTGGCCAGGAAATCTACCGGCTCCTTCTGATGGATTTCGTGTTCTCTTTAGCTGATTCCTTCCTGGGGGAGTTCCTGAGGAGGTATTTGTCCGTCTTAAGTAATTAGTACCTGAGGTTGTAACCAGAGCCATGGTCTTGGCTAAGCAGGAAGTATGGGTCCCTTACATGCTTTAACATTGTTTTAGGTCTGCCTGTTGTCCCTTAGGATATTGATTTCTTTTGAATTATCTGAAGTTTCACTTTGACCTGATAGTCTTGTTGTCAAAGTCCATTTGGTTCAGTTAGCCCTTTACAATTTTCTCTTAAAAAAAAAAAGTTCTAGAAATAAAATGCAGAAACTGAGAGCCATTTGAGATCTTCAATACTGTAGATAAATATTATAGTGTATATCCCTCCAGATTTTTCTATGCACATACTGCTTTGTGTATGTGTATATCCCATATACACTATATAACTTTCAAAGACAAAAATGGGGTCACACTGCAAAATCATTGTGGATTGTTCATCTTATCACTATGTTTTGGCATCTTTCCATGCCAGTACATACAGGTTTATCTCATGATTCATCTAACTGAATTGAATTAATGTACTAACTTTTATTTTAGACCCAGGTATATAGAACTAAGGCAGTGTTGTCATTGGTCTATGTGTTGTCCTCTATTTATTTGTTAATTTTTAATAACATGATGATCATCTCATTCCTTATTAGACATTTACATAGTCCTGCAAGCTGCCCTAGTAGTAGTGATATGAATCATAAGGCTGATTCTTTCCCCAGAGGTAGAGGGAATGTCAGATTTCCTCAGGCTGCCCAAGCTCTACTTTATTCCAGCCTCTGTCCTGGGTCTGTACATAAAGGTGAGAAAGTGTTTTTTTGACAGTAATTTTTTACTGGCAGCTCCACTGTATGAAGAATATAGAGTGGTCTCACATTTCCTCTGAGAAAACAGAGACCTTGATTTTTTCCTTGTGTATTTAGAAAACAAAAACACTATTAATTTGATAGCAGTAATCAAAAACTGACAGGTTTTCAGATTATTTGGGTTGAGAGGTGCTGGTCCCTGAAAAAAATTTTAGCAAGCAAAGGGTGATACACAGGAGATAATAGATGGGATGATTTAAATAATATCTATCATTAATTTGTAATTAATTATGTATTTAACTAATAGGTGGGATAATTTAATCTCTAGCATTTTTTAACAGTAGTACCCCCATTTGAATGCATTCTGCTAATTCCATTTTCCAATGCTTATACTTGGAACTTGTGAAAAATCTGCAAGGGAGTTTATGGCTTTATTTCAAATTGGTGAGAGTCTCCTGTGTTGATTGTAAGGAATCTTTTAAAGTAGGGAGTTGATGGTTTGGGTACTAAACTCAGTATGTTTTTACAGCATCATTGGGATGAGGTTTGTTATGAGCTGTGGCCTACGGGAGTTTGACATTGCCAGGAACGTCCTAGAGCTGATTTATGCACAAACTCTGGTGTGGTAAGTTTTGAGAATCTTCTTTCTGCCCAGTGGTTCCTGCACAGCTGTGGAGAGCACCGGAATCTGTTGTTCTCAAAGCTGCATGGATGATAGCAAATCCAGCCAACCTGAGAACCATGTTTTATATCATGGACTATTCTCTCCCTTTATGAGGCCTTGAGGACTTCAGGCAAGAATCAACACAGAGCAGGGATCCCAACCTCGAGGCCCCTAGATCATATACAGCCTACAGGTGTGTTCTGCTTGCCCCACACAGCACTTCTTCTACAAATATGAATTAACCACCAATATGCAAAAATCACATCAAATTTAAAATTTCTCACTTTCGCCAAAATAAAGGAATGATGTAGACCATCTCCCAGCATGGTAACAGTTGGCTGGGCCTTGAGCTGGGATGAGCATCTCCGGCTTGCCACAGTGCCCACTTCGGCCTATTGTTTCCCCAACATCGATTTCCCATTTCCCTTTGCCCTTGTGCCGTTAGTTTCCTTATGACCTGGCCTGCTTTCTCACTGACCTACTTCAAAGAGTGTAGGTGAGGATTTAATGTGAAACCTACATGCTAAGTACTTACGAGAACCTGACTCAGAAATGTTTCCTAATTGGGGATTTTGATATTATGGCTGTTGTTCCCCTTATGAGCACTCTTTTTTTCAAATTGTGGTGAAAAAAAATACATATTATTTGCCATCTCAACCATTTCTTAATGTACAGTTCAGTGGTGCTGAATATTCACATTGTTGTGCACAGGTCTCCAGAACTCTTTTCCCTCTTGCAAAACTAAAGCTCTGTACCCATTAAACAACTGCTAATTTCGCCCCCCCCACCACCAGGCCCTGGTGACCACCAGTCTACTTTCTGTTTCTCTGAGTTTATTCTAGATACCTCATATAAGTGTAATTGTATAGTGTTTGTCTGTTTGAGACAAATAAACCCTTATTTACCTTAGTATAGTGTTCTTAGGTGAATCCATGTTACGGCATGTATTAGTATTTCCTTACTTTCTAAAGCTAAATGATATTCTGTTAATCTGTATACCACATTTTTGTCTGTCCTTTCATCCATGGATAGACAGCTGGGTTGCCTCTACGTTTCAGCTCTTGTGAATAATGCTGCTATGAGAGTGGGTGTGCAAATATCTCTTTGAGACCCTGCTTTCAGTTCTTTTACATATATATCCAGAAGGGGAATTGCTAGTTAATATGGTATGTATGAGTACTCTTACACTTTTTGTTTTTTTAATAACTAATGTGTATACATCATCTGAGGTAATAATCCTAAAGCTCCCTGTACCGAGTGCTTACTTCGGCCAGGTTTTTGAATCCTGAGTCCTCACACCACTGACGGTTTGATGAAACTTCTAAAAGGAAATGTTAGCAGCAAAGGAAAAAGTTACATTCAAAGATGGCCATTATTATTACTGGGCCTTTAAAGTTTTTGTTAACATATTGTAAATAAGCACAATTTCATACTCATATTCCTTTTCTTTCCACTGTGGCAATTTTAGATTTAACCTCCCTTAGGGTTTAGGAGAATATTGCCTTTGATGGTGAGCTTTGAAAGGAGGTAACATAATGACAGAAAAGGAGTGCACGTCAGGGGTGGAGGCAGAGAAGAGGAGAGGAAAGTGCCTCTCAAACTTCAGCACACCAGCCTGCTGATTGGTGGGCATGCCACGCATCACCTGTGTTGTTTTCTACTTAATACTATCTTTTAAATTGTTTGCCTTTTTTTGGTATTTAATACATGTTCAAAGGAATCTATTTTACAATCATCCGTGTAAAACCAGTGTTATCGGCAGAAATTGCGAGTAACTTGAAAAATAAAATCAGTGATGTCACAGTTGTTAAATTCTAGCTAGATGCTGCTGTCTGCCAAGTCTCTCAATCTAAAGTCTGCTCCTTTTCTTAAAAAATTGGGAGGTTGGCAAGAGTTAGGCATTAAAGACATTTTAGCACCAAACTGATGTTTTCTTCTTTGGGCACTCAGGAGCACTGAGAGGGTTTGAAGAGGGAATATCCTCATTTATGAGTCAGTGCAGTCCATGCCTGTCGCTGCAGGATCTCAGTGCCCTGGAGGGGGAGGGGCCCATGCCCCCCATGTGGGACAGCTGGGGCGGGGCTTGCTGAAGGCCATCTGGCTGTGCGGGTGGGGCCCTTCACAATCTCTTTTCCAGGTCTGGGAAGAGAGCCGCTGAGGACACTGGGCCTGGCGGGATTTCCCTGGTTTGCAGAGGTGGAAGCAGTCTTCCTCTGTGTTCATCGTTAGGGTGGCCAAAGCAGACCTGGGGGCTTAAACAACACACATTTATGTTCTCACGATTGGGGCCTAGAAGCTCAAGATCAAGGTGTGGGCAAGGTTGCTTTTTCCTGAAGCCTCTGTCCTTAGCCTGTAGATGGCTGTCTTCTCCCTGGGTTCTCACGTGGCCTTCCCTCTGGTGTATCTGTGTCCTCTTCTCTTCTTTTAAGGATGCCAGTCAAATTGGATCAGGAACCACCCTAGTGACCTTATTTTATCCCAGTCACCTCTTGAAAAGGCCCTGTCTTTAAATACAGTCACATTCTGCGGTGCTGGTGGTTAGGACTACGGCATATGAATTTTGGAGGGACGCGATTTGGCCCACAGCACCATGTGTCCCTTCCTTCCACACCCCAAATCTGCTCTGCCCCCACTCCTCACTCCGTGTCTCCATGTTTCCCTGACCTCTGACACTCACTGTCTCTCCCTCATAGGATTGGAACCTTCTTCTGCCCTCTGCTGCCCTTTATCCAAATGATTACTCTTTTCATCATGTTTTACGTCAAAAATGTGAGTCAGTCTGAGGTTGGAACCAGTTCGCTTTGCTGAGAGTCAAGTGTGACCCAGTGGTGGCTGGCATTGGGGGTTGGGGAGGGGACGGGGAGGGGTTAGGAGGTGGTACATGGCTAGGCCCCTCATCTGCTCTTCGGGCCACACATGGCGGGTGGCTGTCACTCTTTCTTCAGATCAGCCTCATGATGAATTTCCAGCCTCCGAGCAAAGCCTGGCGGGCCTCACAGATGATGACTTTCTTCATCTTCTTGCTCTTTTTCCCATCCTTCACCGGGGTCCTGTGTACTCTGGCCATCACCATCTGGAGGTAGGACATGGCTGCCCTGTGGTGAGGTTTTAAGATGGGGTGGGTAAGTGTTTTAAAAGATATTTATTATTTATTACATTCCAGGTCCAGAGCTGAGAAAGGACATTCTAATTCTAGAATAAACCATTTCTGCAGTTTTATTATTATCCAGGTACAGCAAGGCCAATAGATCAGAGACAACTTCCATGAAAAAGATACCCTGTTATACTCCTAGATCAGAAAAGAAGCAGGGAGACCGCACCATAGGGAGCCGCATGGGGAAGCACCGGGTTTGGGCAGGAGGCAGAGGGAGTGAGGAGCAAATGTGAGCAAGAGCCTTTTTTTGTGGTTTCCCTGGGAAGGAACCAGTGAGGCAAGGTAAGCAGGTGTAGGACTGACTGATTTGAATAATTTCAGTGGGCTCTGGGATGTAGAGGCTGTCTGGGCTTGTCTGGTACCTGGCCTTGGGCGATTAGAGCAGGTGAATTAGTGGCTCAAGAGTGTGAGAGCTTGACAGAGGGAAGATGTCAACATCATGGTAAAAAGACATGCTTAATACAGTGCTGCCCCAGTTCCGTTGGTGACAAGCAGACACTGCAACCAAGGGAGGGGGCATAGCCTAGCTTGGCCACCACCATTGGTGCTCACAGTCACGGTGACCACAGATTCCTCTCTCCCTGGAAATACTGACGCTGCCTAGAGTGGGCAGAGGCCGGTTCTCCACAGCAAGGACTGAGCTTTAGCAAAGTGAACCAAAAGGCCCTATGTGAGCTGGCTCCCTCCTACTTCTTCAGTCGCACCCCCTCTGGCTCCTTCCTACCCAAGGGCCACAGCTCTTGCTCCATTCCTGGGGCCCTGAGAGCCCCTCCCCACACCAGGTGGGGTCCTTGGCTTGAAGTGCTCTCCCCACTCCGTTGGTTTGGTGGCCTTCTTTCCAGCCTCTGCTTCTCTCTCAGAAGTCATCTCCAAGACCTGGCTTCATGACCATCCTGGTCTACTGTTTATGCAACCTCATCTCTCAGAGCAGTTTCTTGTCTTCATTCCACAGTTCACAATCAAAAATACCTTCCTTTGAATCTTTAGCTGCATAATTATCCATCTTTGGTTGTGCATCTTTTCCACTAAAATGTAAACCTGAGAGGGCAGGGACCATGTCTGTCTGTTTACTATGGAATCCCCAGGGCTTAGTGTTGCACAATGCCTGGTACAAGTGTAATAAACCTTTGTAGAATGAATGAATGAATGAATGGTTGATTGGAAGGAATTGAATGAAATGGAAGGAATTGAATGAAATTGAATGAATGAATGAATGAAATGGAAGGAATCAAATGGAAGGACTTGAATGAAATGGAATGAATGAATGAATTGGAATGAGTTCAATGAAATGGAAGAATTGAATGAAATGGAATGAATGGATGAATGAATTGAATGAAATGGAAGGAATGAATGAATCAAATGTAATGGAAGGAATTGAATGAATGAATGAAATGGAAGGAATTGAATGAAATGGAAGGAAGGAAGGAAGGAAGGAAATGGAAGGAATGGATGGAGGGAGGGAGGGAGAGAGGGAGGGAAGGAGAGGGAGAGGAGGGAGAGAGGGAGGGAGGGATATGTGTGGAAGTGTGTGGAACTGGAGCCATCAGGAACCCAAGTGGCTTAGAGCAGGCTACTGTTTCATGATACCCTTGCTTCTCTCTCTACACCTCTTTTCTCTCTCTTTAGAACCCATTCCTTGTTTCTCTCTAGTTTCTGCTTGTTCATACTGCTGACTGCATGTGGCACCATTACTGCAACTTCAGCTTCCATAGATGACAGGTTCCCTCTTTGTATTTTTTAGTTCACGTTCCCATGAAACAGAACCTGATCACTTCGTTCATTACTTTGAGCCAGGATACCACAGAGGTCATTGCCTGGTCTTTGGACTGGCTCCCGTTGGATCAGATGATACCTCTGTCTGAGAGCCAGTCCTCCAAGTGCTGGCCATGAGTATAACACATAGCAGCTGAGGCTATGAGCGAGTGGGTTTCCTTTGGGAGCAGAGTGTGGGTGGGGCAAGAATCACTGGTTCCAGATCCAGAGCCCCGAAAGGACACCGATTATAGAATAAACTAATCCTGATTCTCACATGGGAGATGTTTTTCTGTCCCTTGTTTTACCAGATTGAAACCTTCAGCGAACTGTGGCCCATTTCGAGGTCTGCCCTTCTTCATTCACTCCATCTACAGCTGGATTGACACCCTGAGCAAAAGGCCCAGCTACCTGTGGGTTGTTTGGATCTACCAGAACCTCATTGGAAGTGTGCACTTTTTTTTCATCCTTACCCTCATTGTGTTGTAAGTGGGGCTCCTTAGGAAGCTACTGGGGGAAACACTTCATTAACTTGAGCTGCGGACTGTCCTAGGGATGTTCGCTTGGAAGGCAAAGGGCTACTGCATAGCTTAGTGTTCTACATGATCCTGACTCTGCCCTTGGACTTTTTAGGAAGTTATTTAATATCTTCTTGTTCTCGTTTGTGTGTGCATGTGTGCCTGTTTTATGAAGAAAGCAATACTTCTGCCCCCTCTTAAGAAACAACATGAAAATAAAACTAAAAAAACTGGATTTGAGGATGCTTAGGAAAATTACACGTGATTCTTTCTGAGACTGTTTATGTTAAAAGGAGTTGAGCATTATTGATGAGTAGGATAGGGTGCTTTTGTTTTCAAATAAAAAGAGATCTATTTCTGACTTCTTGTGAAAAAGCAGAAGATCTGCCCAGACCGGGCTTGTGCTCTTGCATGAACAGTTGGCCGATTCAGTCGTTTGAATGGAACTGACGCTCTCCCTCTTCAGAAGCCCAGCCCTGATGGTGTTTAAGATTGCAGCTCCTCATATAGAGACCCAGTTCCCAAACACAGACTGGTGGAGCCAGCTGATGTCGACTGTAGGGCAACCCCTCAGTTTTCCAGATGGAAGTGGCAAGGCTTAGAGAGATGGGTGACCTGCAGAGACAGGTTCCAGGCTGCAGAGCCTGTTAAGGAGAGAGGAGATAGACCCGAGTCTCCTGGCTCCTGCTCAGGCCCTCCCTTCCCCAAACTGGGTTGCCACTGGCCTCCTTAAAACGGTGAGTTCTCCTAGTGCCTTGCTCCAACAATCTTCTAATTCACTGGGGAGCTTGTTACAAATGCAGACTCTTGGGTCCTACCCCAGTCCTGCACGATCAGAATCTGGATTTTAACAAATTCCCAGGAAATCTGTACCACACTGAAGTTTGAACAGCACCCTCCAGATTCACAAATTCTAGCTGCACATTAGAATCATGTTTATTTTTAAAAATACTGATGTCTGGCCCCATGCCCAGAGATGCTCAATTAATTGATCTGAGGAGGGGCCGTGGCATGAGTCTTTTTTCCACCTCTCTGGTGATTCCGTGTGCAGCCAGGTTGAGAACCATTGTTCTCATGTGTTTCACCTGTAACTCACCGGCACCCACCTTTTCAGGAACACTGCTGGGTCAAGATCTGTTTGCAAGCAAATGTGTCTGTTCCTTTGCCCCCAGTTAGTTTGGAGACTGCAAAACATTGGCACCAGTGTCTGCCATTCTTTCCTTCTCTTGCAGAATCATCACCTATCTTTACTGGCAGATCACAGAGGGAAGGAAGATCATGATCAGACTGCTCCACGAACAGATTATTAATGTAAGTCCCGTTGGACCCCTCTCTTCTTTCCCCCTACTTTTTAAACAATTTATAATGGAAACTTCCAAATGAACAGTGAACCCCCACCACCTGCCCACCACCCGGTGCCAACAACCATCAACATTGGTATTTTCATGCTTCTTTCATCTGCACTGCCCCCTTTACAAATCTCTGGATTATTTTAAAGCAAATACTAGACTATATGCCATTTTATCCATAAAAACTTCTATATGCCTAAGCAATACAGATTTTTAAAAACATAACCACAGTGCCATCATCACACCTAAAGGAAAACCTACGGATTCCTTACTATCATCTCAAATCCCATCAATGATCAAATTTTCCCAGTCGTCCCATGAAAAGTCTTTTTGTTGTATGGTTGTCCAAATCAGGATTTGAAAAAGTGCCACATGTGGCATTTGGTCGACACATCACTTAATGTTTCTTTTTTTATCTATAACTGTTCACCCCCTGCTCTCTTCTCCTGCCATTTATTGATGAAGAAACCAAGCTGTTTGTCTTATAGTAGTCCTGACATTCTGGATAGATCTGATTGGCAGCCCTGCGGTGGTTTTAACATGTTTCTCTTTTCATTTCCTGGAAACTGGTGATGAGTTTGGAGGCCTGATTAGATTCAGATTCAACTTTTTAGCCAGAATACTTCATAGATGATGCTATGGCATCACCTTGAGACCTAAAATGTCAATTATTAGGAAAGTTCAGTGGTCCATGTTCTGTTAGCTTGACCCAGACAGCACAAAGCTCTCCATCAGCCTTTTGCCTAATGAATTCAGCAGCCTTTGATGAGTATCGCCTAGAAGGGACTACCAATAGCGATTCTAATTCTAGAATTTCATCGGCATATATCAGCTGGAATTCTTCTATAGAAAGTTTTTGCTCATTCAGTGTTTGGTTACCTTGAAATACAGGTCATAGAGGAAAGGCAAAATAAATGCATGATTCTTTCCCTTTATTTACCAGCTTTCAAAACGATGAGCTGGTGCCCTAGGGTTTTTGTTTCCTAGGGCTGCCGTAACAAATTACCACAAACTTGGTGACTTACAACAACAGAAATTTATTGTCTCGCAGTTCTGGAGGCTAGAAGTCCCAAATCAGGGTTGGCCGGGTTGGTTCCTTCCAAAGCTCCAAGGGAAGGTCTGTTCCATGCCTGCATCCAAGCTTCTGGCTGAGCTTGGCTCTTCTTGGCTTGGGGCTTCATAGCTCGTATCTCTTCTGCCTCCAGCTTTACAAAGGCTGTTCTCTGTGTGTCTGTTTCTCCTCTTCTTCTAAGGACTTGTCATTGGATTTAGGTTCATCCTCCTCTAGAATGATCTCATCCCCAAATCCTTCTTTTTATTACATCTGCAAAGACCCTATTTCCAACAAGGGCGTATTTATGGATACTAGGGTTAGGGATAATTTGGATGCATCATCTTAAAAGGGAGTCAGGGCAGACTCTGGTAATGCTGGGAGTCCAGACAGGGTTCTCAGGCAGAAGACAGCCAAAAAGGGGGACATAACAGGCCCTTCGTCCTGGGCCTTCAGAAAACGGCATGTAAGCTGCTTCCAGCAGCAGGCTCGAGGAGGCTGCTATGCAAGCCTGCCAGGAGAATTGCTTTAGAGGAAAATATTACAGTTCAGGAAGGCTATGGGTTAATAACATTGCTGTGAAATATTTCTTCTCTTTTATCAAGAGAAAACATGGCAGAAGTCTCCATGCAACAACTGGGGTCCTACCTGCCTAAAAATCAACCTCCGTTCCATCATTTGCTTCTCAATTTCACACCATCATCCATCCTCCATAAATTTTTGTTTTCCTTCTTGGCAGGAGGGCAAAGATAAAATGTTCCTGATAGAAAAACTGACCAAGTTGCAGGATATGGAGAAGAGAGCAAACGCCAGCTCACGCACACCAGAAAGGAGAGGCGTGGAGGTGAGGCTGGAGGCTGCCTTGGGAGCCACATGACATAGACTTGCCCCCCTATGAAAAGTGCATCACGGAACTAGAATCACTCAGGGACACTTCACTTGCTATGTTTAAACATTTCTGTATTTTTTAATTTAACGGATAATATTCATTGCTGAACACTCGCCATGCTTGGCCTTGCTCTAGGTCCCTGGTTTTTGTGTGAACATCACAAAGGCCCTCACGGAGCTGCACATGTCTTTTCTAGAACCCAGTCACGCAGAGGTATATTCCACTGAGATGAAGAGTGCCCTGAAATCTCTCTCCACTGTACTAATGGTTCAGTGTAGTCTCCCAGATCTTTTCCTGTAGGCCTCTGCAAACATACATGCATCTACTAATGTTTTGTTTTTGTATTTATTATAAAAGTGACAATGTGCTATACACATGGTCTCATAACTTCCCGCCCCTCCCCACTAAGTACTATATCTTGGACATTGTTTCAAACTGTACAATTTGGACATTTGGCTTCTTTCAGGTTTTTTCTTTTTTAATACTAAAAACTGTGTAATGAAACATTTTTATTATAATTATTTTATGTGAGTATTTTGGCCACAGGGCATGAACATGATAATGTTAATAGATTTTGCCATATCATGAAGATTTTACCAATTTTATTCCTACCAAGAGGTGCCTGAGACTCTGCCTTAAGTCTGAAGCCTTTCCTGGCTTCCTTGGTATCCTGGAATAAACAAACAAAGAGTAAACCCACCTTCATTCCAATGCCACTAGTTTTATAGGTTTGGATCTTGTCAGAAGAGACCACCACTTGTCATTTACTATCTGTGCGAATTAATACTGTCAGCACAATGTAGGTAAGGGATCTAAAGGTCCTACTCTAAATCCTATGAAGGCAGGGATCAAGTCTGTACCCTTGTAGCTCTAGGTCCTAATATATTACCTGGCATATTGTAGATGCTCAGTAAATATCTGTAAAATGAATGAATGAATGAATGAAATCTCTGTCCCTACAAAGCAGAACATGTTCCATGTTTCTAGGACTCATCCTTGGTCATAATCCGGGGGGGGTTCACAAGTCTTACCAACTATGCAGCAGGACCCAGGGTCTACATTCTTTTCTGGTGATGAGCCTGCCTGTTTTCTTCTTTTTCAGCAACCAGACCCTTTGCATGTCAGGGAACATGATGCTGCTACTCATGGTGAGTATTTGAACAGATGTTGAAGAAGACCTAGTTTATCCAGATGATATATCTCCAGACAGAGGGTCAGATATGCTCATGTACCACTTACTCTTTCAATTATAAGAACTGACCCAAACTAGCTTCAGCAGAAAATCCAAGAATCATTTGTGCTTTAGGTGTTTTCAGAAGCCGGAGTTTTCGGTATGTCGCCAGAACTTGGTTTCTTTCTGTTCAGTTCTTTCTCATGTTAGCTCCTTTCTTAAAAGAGGCTCTTCCTCATAATTGCAAAAAGGCTTTGTCAGCTTCTAGTATTTTCTCAGATTCCAGACTGGTGGGAAACAGCAAGAGACCCAGAATTCTCATTATGTCTCTGGGGCCTGACTGAGTGATGTGCCCATGCATGAACCAATTGCTGTGGCCATGAAAACAGGATAATTTCTTGCCCAGATCCGAGTCACAGGCCTCTCTGTAGATAGACGAGGTGCAACCCTACAGACCATAGGGAGGAAGAATGGGGAAGGGTGGCTTCCCAGAGAAGATCTGTGGCTGATGCCAGAAGGGGAAGGAATGCCGCCGAGGAAACAAAGCGCCCACTCGTCATCGTGGGATAGCGTTTACTGATGGCACCCAGCAGTGAGAGTTCAAGGGGGAGAAATGAAGAAACTTTAAAGAAGGAGGCAAGGAAGCCTGAGCAGCTGTGGGATCTTGAAGGCCAATTTGGTCTTTCTCTTGGAAAGATGGGGAAGTGTGTGTCTGGGCTAACCTCTCTTTTCTGTGTCAAACCCAGACCTGCGATTTAGGCGGTCAGTTCAAGAAGGCAATCCAAACGCCTGATGATGACTGTGGTAGCCAGACACCAATCCAGTAAGGATGGAAAGGAAAGACAGAACAGCTTCCATGACCCTGGAGCCTTCTGGACCTTCCCAGAAGGGGAATTCCAGCCCTTAGCCAGGAGTGGGAACAGACCATGGTGTAAACACAGAAGTAAAATTGACCATGCCTTGTTGGTTTTTTATACCAGATTGCTGACTTTTCAAGATACAAAATTTGGGATTTTCTAATTAAGACTGTTGCAGTATTTAACCTAGTTCACAAAAACCTGGAAAGAAATTACCTGGGAATAATGTATTCAACCTTCAAGAGATGTGCATATGAATTATTGGTCCTTAGCAATCTCTCCTTCCAGATCTTCCAGACTTGGCAAAGGTTTGGAAACTGGTGCTAAGACAAGTGGTCCAGCCCGAATAAAAATGTGATCCTTACTCAGGGATGTGAAGCCTCTGAATTGTGGGACCTGCCTTTGTTTATGACTTTGAACTAAAACATCCCCATTACTCAGAGGTCTCATATGACTTTATTGCATATTGAGTGTACATGGGTCCTGGGGATTGGACTGGGGTTGTGGGTGTGTGGACTGGGACTCTGCCCTTGGGAGGTTTTATATGTGAACAAAGTCTCATGTTGAGCCAAACATGAGACTAGTGGTGATGTATGGAATAGATACGTATGTATATTTGTGTGAAGTGAATGTGTGTGTGTGCACGTACATGCATACACATATATATTTAGCATTCTTTTACAGATTTGCCAAATGATTCACAATGCACATTCTTAAAACTGAAGAGCCCATCAGAAAGGTGCAATTACCAAAGTACTCCAGGGGAGAGATCTCCTCTTAAGTAATCACTGGCATGAAATCCAATAGAACTAAATTTCGGAAGCATTTATTACACATTTGAAACATATGCATCCAGTCAGTGCTCTCATTGATTCACTTTTTCATTCACTGATTCATTCATTTCATCAACTGAATTACTTTTTCTTGGTATCATCTTAGCTAGGGGTTGCTGGTAACATTCATTGATTCATTCAACAAATACGTGCCAAGTGGTGGTGAACAACTCAAGACAGTCTCTGCTCTCAAGGACAGTAAACTGCCCTTACTGTCCAGCATGTTAATGTAGACAGAAACTTAATAATGAACCAAAAATTAATTCTAATTGTGATAGGTGCTGTGAAGAAGCAGCCCAGGGAGACTTAACTTGCTGGGGTCAGTAAAGGCAGCCCTCTGGGTTGATGTTTGTAGGATTTTTCCCTCTGTGTCACCTTAATGCTGCCTTCTTTGGTTTCTCTACTGAAACAGGAACACCCTCTGAGGGTATCACTGTAGCGTACTTACCACATGCTAAGGGCTTATATCTGGAATGCTTCTCCATTCCCCTCCATGTCGTCTCCACCTCCACACAGCCCTGCTTCTCTGGAGGTATAAACACAGTAGAAAGTTCTAGTTCGTAGGTCTCACATACACATTTAGACGTGAGGATGCTCTTAATTTAACACTTGGTCTTGAGATAGGGGATGTAATAGTTTGCTTGGGCTGCCATAGCCCAATACTGTAAACTGGGTGGCTTAAACAGTACAAATTTATTTTGTCACAGCCCTAGAGGCTAGAAGTCCAAGACCAAGATGTTGGTGTCCACCGTTTGGGTTTTGTCCTGGGGCCTCTCTCTTTGCTTGCAGGGTGGTCCCCTTCCCATGTGCCCTCAGGTGGCCATTCCTCCTGGGATACCTTCATGTGTCCATGTTCCTTCCTCCGGCATAAAGACACCGGTCAGAGTGGGTGTCTTCAACTTGCTCACCTGCTTGAAGGCTGTGTCCCCAAATATGGTGGGACATTCTGAGGTACTGTGGGTTCAGACTTCAGCATATGGATTTTGGATCAACATAATTCAGGCCATAACAGGGACTGACGCCTCCCCCTAATCCCTCAGTCCTGTCAGGGCCTCTCATTAGGCAGCAGGGTTCTCAGTGCTGGTGACACTCTGAATCATGTGGGCAACTGGCCAGCAACAGCCAGACCCAGACTCCACTCTAGACTAACTAAATCAGGCATCTATACTTTTTTTTTAAAAGCTCTCTAATGGTTTCAGCAGGAAGCCAGGGCTGAGAAATACCGAGCCGGTAGACCCCCTTATTGGCAGTTTCGCTTTCTGCGGTTTCAGTGACCCGCAGTCCAGGGGAAGCAGATGATCCTCCTTCCGACGAATCATTAGAAGGTGCACAGTAGCCTAATGCTATGTCAAGTGCTGCATCATTCACCCCACTTCCTTCCATCACGTAGGCATTTTATTATCTCTCGTCATCACAAGAGGAAGGGTAAGTACAGTACAATAAGATTTTGAGAGAGACTACATTCATGTAACTTTTATTACAGTATATTGTTACTCTTCTATTATTTACTTTATTCTATTTTATTACATAATCCTTCTATTTTATTACAGTTGTTAATCTCTTACTGTGCCTAGTTTATAAATTAAACTTTATCATGGGTATGTACGTATAGGACAAAAACACGGTTATACAGGGTTCCTTACGCATCCCCCTAGGATAAGGGAACCATGTAGTTCTTCCCAAACTTGCCTGACCATAAAACCACCTGAGGCACTTACTAAACATGCAAATGGTGAGCTCAGAATAATGCATCAAAATAGTCAGGGGACGTTCCTCATCCTCCTCTTCCAGCCCTGATTTTAATTAGTTTCAAATAATAGAAGTTAACATATGCTTTCCAACAGTCACTTGAAAGCTGGATAAGCCCCATAGTTTAAGTATAAAAAAAGGATAGCCTCTTGAATTTGTGCAGGAGCTGATCCTTAAGTGGCTGCAGTTCATTTCTTAGGAGGCCATGAAATGGTTTTGTGTGAAGTTCAATTATAAAATGGCATTGACTGACCTGTCTCCATATGCTTTGAATTGAGGGTGGGTGGTGAGAAGTCAGCTCATTAATAGGAATTGTCTCTCAGTATGGTAGCACTTAATTACCTTCCTGAATTCTCAAAGTTGGAATTTTTTCATAGTTTTGAGAGTCTGACCAACGATGAGATAGACCGTGGAGGGGAGGTCAGGGGTGGAGCAGAGGGGCCCTCTGCTTTGCTCACGACTGACCTGCCGGGTAAGAGTACTGCCTTATACCTGTGGAGTTGCTGTCTGCACAGGGCTGGTCCCCTTTAGTATCACCTGGGGCCGTGTTATAAAGCAGATTCTGATTTGTAAGGTTGGGGATGGGGCCTGAGAGTCTGCATTTCTGTCTAGCACTATAGCTCGAAGGACCATGCTCTGAGAAGTATGGTTTAAGAGCATCTCCTTATTTTTTTCCTTATTTTATCTTTGTAAAAATATTATGCTGTTAACACATTTTTCAAAACACTTCCTTTTTTTTTCACGTGAACCTCCTAACATTTTCACTTGAAGTCAATTAGTGCAAATATTATGATCTCTATTTGACAGATGATGGAAATTGAAGCACACACAGGTTAAAGGATTTGTCACTTGAGGTCTTGTACATAGGCAGGGACAGAATTGAGGGCTTTGGATTTTTGCTCCATTGGTGATTCTCCGACTCGAACAGAACCACCTGGGAGGCTTGGTAAACCATATCTTGAGCCCCACCCAGAGTTTCGGATTCAGTAGTTCTGGGATGTGCCCTGAGAATTCTCATTTCTAACAAGTTCCTGCTGTTGCCAAAACAAATAAACTTGGGCCTGCTGCCTGGCACACAGCAAACCAAACACTGACATCAGGATGCAGTAAGAAAAGAGGGCGGTCATTGCAGGGCACCAAGCAAGGAGAACTGGAGGCTAATGCCCAAGGTCCCAAACTTGCCATTGGCTTACAAGCAAGGGTTTTAAAAGGCACAATTAGGGGAGAGGGTGGCAGGGTGTGTAAACAGCTCATGCTCCTCCTTCTGACTGGTCAGTGGTAAGGGGACAGGGGATTGTTTTAGGAATCCTAGTTATCAGTCTTCTGGCTCACCCAGTCTGGGGTCTGAGGTGCTTGTTGTCGGGAAGTCGTCCATCTGGTGGGGGTCTGAATTCCTGCAAGGACACAGGAGTCAACAGTTTATAGCCTTGAGGAGGAACTCAGGCTCCTGGGTCTGTGTAGCTTGCTTTACCTTAGTTTGCAAACTCCCATTTGCTTTAATAGCTGATTACTCAGTTTAATTCCCACACTCTGGGTCCAAATTGAGGGATTGGGGTTTCTCTTTCTTAATGAGAAGTCTGAGGGGCTTCATTACCTGTGCAGTTACACCACTAATGATGTTGAATAAATGTCTCAAAGGACAGCATTCTTTGAGAACCTTTGTCCCTAGCTGATACCCAGCCTCTTCTTAATATTTGGCATTCTCCTGATTGTTAGACTGAGCATAATTTAAAGTTTGATAATAGAACACACACGGTCATTAATCTTCAGTATGTTAGTATGTTTGATCAAAGAAAGCAAATGACCTCACCCTACAGTAACCACCACTCCATGCATAAGAAGGTTGGAATGGATGTTTCAAATATCCACTCAGTCTTCCTTGTCCTCAAAGCGGTGTTTTACTCTCCTGTTGAAGCACTATTCCCACTTTACAAAGTGGTAGGTGTAATTTTAGTTAGAAGTTTTGCATGTAATAAAAATAGACAATTTATGTCTTGGTGAAATTCTTATCAAAACAGGATTGCAGATGTTGGGTGTGAATTGGTTTGGAGTTGCAGGGAATTCAGATTCAGATAGAGTGAAATGTGAAACCAATGTCAAGAAAGCAAAGCAAGTTTTATTACATAAGCTCTGAAACAGAGTGGGCCCCTGACCTAGTGTCAGACAGCCCTGACGCCTATCATGAGGCTTCTTTCATGGGGTTTTTGGCCAGGCAAAATCCTTGATTGACATTCTTTGGCATTGGGAACTTTATCTGATTGGAGAACCGAAGACATGGGCTGTGCTTTTTTCACCTAGTTTTGTCATCTGGGGAGTGGCTGTGCTCTGAGGCTTCTCATCTGGGAAGTGTCTGTACCCTGCTGGTCACTCTGGTCCTTGTGGCTTCATTTAACTCTGTGTGTTATCTCTGGCTTTATCTGATTAACTCCCCGAGTCTTGGTGGGCCCCACCCTCTTGCCATCCTGCTCCTGCCTGACTTTCTGCCTATTACAGGCATTGATCAACAAATAAGAAAATGAGTATTGTTCAACCAAACGTAGTGGATTTCTTCTGCATTTTGAGGTAGCCCTTCTGTTAATCTGTCTCTAGCAGCCTGACATCAGAGGGGCAGACTAGTGAATAGCAGAGGATGAATTTAATCTGTACTCTCTTTGAAAGCATGCTATCAGTCATGGTTTTGGATGGCCCTTTAATGTTGCTAAATCCTGAATCTATCATGGTTTTGGATGGCCCCTTCATGTTGCTAAATCCTGAATCATTTATCTACATTCCCAAATTTTCA